GATCGATAGTCCCTTTGTAAGTGGGTGGATGATGAGATGCCACTCTCTTAAAAATGGTATTCTCGGCATTAGCCTGATGGGCGTTTTGTTGTCCAAGTGCTAATGCAAGATCTTCAATAGCCCTCAGACGTCGGTCCATTTCTTCAGCAACAGCGTTGTTTGCAGCCATTCTAGTGTTACGACGGGTATAATACCTGATCGTATGTTTTTTTTTTTTTTTTTTAAATTCTAAGTGTTTGAATTTGTTCTCATAGTCAACTCTAACTATCACTTTCCTCATCTCATATATTTGTATTATGTATCAGATAATGCAATTTAAATTCAAACAATAAACCAATTTATTTAAATAAATAAATAATAAGAATTTCATTATTCATCATTACTCAAAGAAAGAAAAAAAAAATTACATCTAGAAGAAACCCTTTTAGCCTATAGAAAATTCTATTCATTTGCTAAAATAAAATTTACTAGTCAATAAATCACATAACAAGTCACAAAATAATTTCAAACATGCAATTATTAGAATTTCAAATAAATCTTATTTAAAGGACAAGAAAATAACCCTTCACTACCCATCTCTCACGTTTAATTTTTTTATTTTATTTCAATTTATTTTATTATTTATGTTCTTTTTTATTTATTTAACTGTGGGATCTTTGATCCCTTGAGTTAGTATCAAATGTGAACCCAAGTTAAACTCAGGGCTCTGATACCATTTTGTAACACCCCAAATTCTAACAATTGATAATAGCATAAATAATTTCAATAATTTTTGTAAATAACAGCGGAAGTTCAAAATAATCAAATTTGGAAAGTGTTACCGCCGCACTTGTACTATGGACAGGTGCAAGGCTAAATTTATTACATTAAAAATAAAACCAAAGACTAAAGTTTAAATAAAGGAAATATGTCTTATACATTTATTTAAATCTCATAAAATTTCTAAACTTAGAAACTAGCTAGAAATATCATATCCGAGTCGTGATCCTCGCTGCCCACAGCTAGCCCCATCCTTTGCAACATGCTTCACTGAAAATCTGCTCCCCCGTGAAGGATCATTGCAGTTAAACAAACACAAAAGTTAGCAAAGCTGGTAATCCAAATCCGATATACAAATAAATAAATAAATAAATAAATAAATAAACAAAAAGAATGTAACTCATGATAATCCAATAAAATAATATAACTCAAAAAATTCGAATCAAATGTCAACTTGTTATTAATTATATTAATATTTATTTAATCCATTTAGTCTATTTAGTGGGAAGAGAACCATGGTAGACCCGGGGAACCCTGCCAGTCTACCCTGTGACCCGGGAAACCCTGCCAGTCACAAACAAATCACTTTGGCCATAATCAATTCACATCTTCCTAGTGTGCACACCTCTTCCCAAAGTTGCTACTAGTATCCCGGGGAACCCTGCCAGACACCACTTTGGGAAGAACGGATATAATCATTTTCACATCAGTTTCACATCGGAGGCATAAAGCCCAAAAGTTGTGTTCATCACTTTGGGAGGTACCATCCCAAAGCTATCCTCCCACTATTAATTTTTTTTTATACAAACATAACAAAATTCCTCAATTTATTTCAAATATATGTAATATCTATTTTCTGCAACTAACAATTAATTTCTAATTTATCAAAACATATATATATTTTAGTGCCTCAATTTATAAAATAAAGCACGGGATTCAAAAGAAACAATTGTAACTAACAACATATACTGAAAGCATGTATTTGAAATAGGTTGATCACGTAAACCGAGAAAAATATCATTGCAAATATATGCATATAAGCAAAAGTGAAGGACATATTAATTTGCAAATTGAAAGAAACCAATCAGGCATCTAATTTAATGGAAAGTGACGCACAAAAATCGAGAAGGAGAGTTTTGTTTTGTGAACAATGTTTACATATATAAAAGCAACGACAATTTGAATTCAATTTAAAGAATTGCACAGAAACTGAAGGAAATTTGCAGCGAGGTGTATACATGCAGTTCCGAGTTCGACAGAAGCAAATTGAGAAAACATCTAGCAGATAGTAATTATTAACAAAATCGAATTTATAAGGAACGTAATTATATATACAGGTCAACACAATTATCTGGGATTAGGATTACATGCAATATATTTCATATAAGATAGCCCTATGATATATTTAGGATCATAATTATCCTATCAAAATTCATATAAAATTAACATAACACTTCTAAGGATTAGGATTACACATACCAAATTTGACATAAAATATAATCTAAAAATACCTAGGGATTAGGATTACCTGGTCTCCGTTTTCGCTAACTTTTAGAAGAAAAGAGTAATTTGGGGCAGAGAACCGGTTGATAAAAAAATATAAAGATTGGAAATAATTAAAATAAACTTTTTGGAGTGAGAAGAGAAAGAGAGTAGTAGAGGAGAGTGAATTTGTTTGGTTAGGCTAGGTCTCTATTTATAGTTGAAGTTTAGGGCTTATACATTACTGACTCAATGCTGACTCATCATATCTAAACAATTTATGTTTGTTGAGTCATCATATCTAAACAATTTATGTTTGTTAAGTCATCATATCTAAACAATTTATATTTGTTGACTCATCCTAATCCAATCAAACATTACCAATCAAATAATCAAACATTAAAGCATAATGATCAATCAAATAATAACAATTTATCACCCATTATTATTATTACTAATTTATAATTTATTACTATTATTAATTTATTGTATTATAAATTACTATTATTTTTCTGAGATATTACACCTTTCGACTCAAAATAATAGAGCTTTGTGAGCTGATTCGCAGTTTCATCTGTGCATGAGTTCAGAATAAGAAATAACATTTTTTAAAGGGGTTTTTTTTTTTTTCGGTCATTGTAAATAAGTTATCTATACTTAGCTAAAAATGACATCATTTTGGTGCGAAAATTCAAGATATTTTTAGAATTATAATTTATTTTAAGGTTATAATAAACTCTCTCATTATAATTTTTTAACCTTTCGACTCAAAATGATATTATTTTTGGAGTAAATATAGATAACATACGTTATGTATATTAACTGTGGAAACATTAAAAAAAATTAAAAAAGAAATGAAAAAGAAAAGCCTGAGATTCACATTGTAGCGGTGAAAATAACAGTGGTAAAATACAATATCTATTTTGTACGTAAGGACGTGATGCCTAAACGCAAGGTTAGCTTGTAGGTGGTTTCATAGAGTGGAAGCTAGTGCAATCGCTAACGCTGGAGCTCTTTGTTTCCGCAAAATAGTGGGTGGTGTAATAAAGCTATTATTGTTGTTAACGAAACAGCCATTTGATTCTTTACTCTTTCCCTTATCTACCCTACACGTGTTCTTCATCTTCAAACCCAACGCGTTTCTCCCTCTTTCAACCGAAACGCTGCCGTCCCCTAGTATTTGCCTCTCACTCTGTATCTCTGATTCGACGAAAAACGTTGACACGTGTACGGTGATAAGATATGCACAGAGTCTTCAATTGTTTTCCAAGTCAGATGCAGTTGAACTGCTCTCTACCAGGGTATTATCGTCAATAGGAAAAAGCTTTTACTCTTTTTTTTGGTAGGCGGAAAAATGCTTTTAATTAAGGATTCATTTAATTTTATGTCGCATAAGAGATCTTATTTCATGTTGTAGACAGTATATGTGATGGGATCTGCCATTTAAAGAAAAAAAAAATGTCATGATTTTCGATGAATTTGTAGGAGATAAACTACTCTTATGTTGCATAAGAATAATTTTTTCCTTTAAGGGTTATATTTATCTCATTCAACATGAGATAAACCAAATTCCTACACACACATAACAAAGGTGGGTCCCACCTCTATTTTTTTTTCCCTTCAATTATTTGTGAGTCTCTCTTATAATTTTGTTTCACTAACATTAGATATCTATCTCCAACGACATAAGAAAAACATTTCCCTTATTATAAACTCAAACTTAATTATAATTTGAATTATTCTATATGAGTGATTTAATAATAAACTTTAAATTTTGTTTTTATTGCAGAAAATATTTATCTGCCACACTCAAATTAATTAAGTGACCCTCATTAATTTTTTTCTCTTTAATTTTTGGAATGGAACTCACTTACTTTTATGTGAGCATCGCAAAAAAATGCTTTCCGCTTTCTAATTTATTTATCAGAAAAATATTTATGCATTTACTGCATATAAATTATTTGTATTATTTTTAAAACCGTTATTTTGGAATTGAAATATTAAAAAATTATAATTATAAAGACTATAATAACCTTAAAATAAATTAAAATTACAAAAATACCATAATTTTTGCCCCAAAACGACGTCGTATTAGACTTACGGTAGATAATTTATCTGCAAAAACAAACCCTTTATTTATTATACAAGTTTTTCTTTATCCTAATAATTTAAATTATTTTTTCAGTAGTCATTTTAAAAATATTATTAGTGTTTTATTCAAATTAACATTTCTTTATATCTGTTGAAATTATATTCCTATAAATTGTTCACTGGGAATAAGAGGATCAGAAGAAAATTATTAAATTCCTCTTTTGTTTTCTCTCCTAGGGTCTCTTCCAATCTTGTTGCTTAATTTTCTTCTCCCTTCTAAGTACTATTGCAACATCATGCAGGTATCGTGAGGTTAATTTTATCTCCTTTTTCTTTTATTCGTTACATTGTCTGATTAATTGATACTATCAGGTTATTAAGTTTTGAGTAACTTAAATTTCCTCTGCAACTTAGCAAAGTGATTAAAAGAAAAAAAGACATATTCTATACATGAAAAGGTAGAAAGAAAGAAAGTATTAATGATGACGTAAAATGAAGTTACAGTTTTAACGTCCATAGAGAGTTTGTGATGGTATTTTGGTAATTCTAAGCGTAACCTTCAGCAGGTCGCAGAGATGCGGACGCCATTTGAACGTTCTTACAAATGAAAAAATACTGTGTTTCAATTCAATGCACAAATAAATAAATAAAAAGAGAGAGAGAAAGAAAGTATATAAACAATTAAAAAAGAAAAAAAAAAAGAAAAAAGCAAAGAAACAAAAACCTCAGTTGCCGAAAGAAGCATAATCTGAAATTTGGAAAGCGAATTAATCGTTTGAGGTTGCTTGGTTCCTCCTCTCGCAGGTAACTCAATCCTTATCTTCTCCGTTCCTTTATCTCTCTCTCTCTCTCTATTGGTCCCTGGTTTTCTCTCTTTAGAAGATTCCCACTTCAACTATGTATTATCTCGTGTTTTAATTTCAATAAATATATAATTCTAAACTGGGTCTTTTTTTTTTTCCTTTTTTATTGTTGTCTGGTTTTGATTCATGTGATTTTCTTTTCCTTTTATCTCTTTTTTTTTTTTTTCCTTTTTTGTGTGGAAGGTCCTTTCTCAGCTGAAATTCGTGGTAAATGATTCCTAATTATTGATTATTTTTCCATGCTCGGATTGATCGGTATTGTTTTGCTTAGCTGGCACAATCCCACTTAATTTATGGTGAAACAAATTATGGGATCTCTGTAGTTAATTTCTTTGATATTATGTTTATGCTAATTGGTAATTGGTAAATCAGATCCGTGATAACGGTAATTTGTGAATGCTGCTACTACTTTATTAGATAGCAATAAATTTAATACCCCATTTGAGTTGAGCTTAAAAAGGGAAAATCGGGTTCAAGAATCCTGAGATTTATGATCATATATATGATTTGATTTGATATGTTTTTTTGTTGTTTGCGAAGGTTTTAATGTTTTAGCTCTTGACTTGAATGGGGTTCTGATATATTAGCGTGTTTTTTTTTTGGCTCTGTTTGTGTGTGAGAACAGATGGTAAGGGGAGGAAAGGTTAGTGGCAAACGCACTTTTAGAAAAAAGGTTCGGTCAAAGGAGGGCGGTTCTGATGATTCGGATGAGGACTATGTGGTTTCAGATGAAGATAGAGATGTATCTGACTATTATTGCTCCTCGTTAGATGGATGTGCATCAGAGGAGAGTTTTGAAAATTTTATGGAGGAGGAGGAGGATGAAGAGGAGGAGGAGGAGGAGGAATTTCAAGGAGTGAGTAATTTCAATAGATCCAAGGTGAAAAATGACATTTGTGGTCGGCGGAGAAATGCAAGTAAAAACTCAAGAAAGGGGGGAAGGATTACGTATGCAGAACAAGAAGAAGGGGAGGAGAAAAAGGAAGACAAAGAAGCCAGGGGGGAGGAGGAGGAGGAGGAAGAGGAGGAGGAGGAGGAAGAAATTCATGGAGTGAGAAATTTCAATAGGTCAAAGGCCAAAAATGGTGTTTGGGGTAAGCAAAAAAATGCAAGTAAAACCACACGAAAGAGGGGAAGGATAACACATGCAGAACAACTAGAAGAAGAGGAGGAGGAGGAGGAGGAGGAGGAGATGGAAGAGGAGGAGGAGGTGAAGGAGCAGGAAGAGAAGGTGGAGAGAGATGGAGAATGGGAAGGGGAGGAAGAGCAGGGAGATGGAGATGAAGAGGATGAGGATGAGGATTTTGACTTTGACGACGAGGATGATGAATTTACGCCAGAGGAAGAAGATTATTCAGATGAGGAAGAAGAATTGAGGGGGAGAAAGAAGAAAAATAATGGCATGAAAATGGGCAAGAAGGTTTTACAGAAAAGGGCCTCTGTGGCTTCTACCAGAGGTCGAAAAAGGCGGAGTTCTAGAGCATCAAAGAAACCCTTGAAAAACAAAAAAAGAAAGAATGGAGGGTTAAGGAGGAAAGTAAGATATGACAATGAAGATGGTTTTATAGATAGTTGCCCAGCCATCAAGACAACGAGTAGGAAAAAAGATGCCCCGAAGAGGAGAAGGCTGCTTCTCGCGGATTCAGATTCAGAATTTGTGTCTTCTGGATCATCAGATTTTGAGTATACCATATCTGAAGAAGAGAGAGAACAGATGAGAGAAGCCAAGAAATTGTGTGGAAGCTTGCGAAATAACTTGAGGAGTTCATCCTTCCTAACAAAAAATGAAGAGGTTGGAGTCCATGAAGATCTACATCAGCAGAGGAAGCCTCCAGGTCGGAAGGGTAAGGAAAAGATAGAAGAACCACAAGGTAGAAAGGGTAAAGAAAAGGTGGAGGGTTTAAAAAGTGAGGTGGGAAAGCAGGTTTGCGGGGTTTGTCTGTCTGAGGAAGATAAAAGAAGAGTAAGGGGGGTACTAAATTGTTGCACTCACTATTTCTGTTTTGCTTGCATTATGGAGTGGGCGAAGGTGGAATCTCGCTGCCCTTTGTGTAAGCAGAGATTCAAAACAATCAGTAAGCCTGCACGATCATCGACAGGGATTGATTTAAGAGAAGTGGTGATACAAGTTCCTGAACGTGACCAGGTATTTGAAATTTTCCTCATAGCTTTTGCACTTTCTTCAATTTAATGTTCCTAGTGAAAACGTTTTGATTTCAAATGTAGGTTTATCAGCCCTCTGAAGAAGAACTCAGGAGCTACATTGATCCATATGAGTATGTTATTTGTTCAGAGTGTCATCAAGGTGGAGATGATGGCCTCATGTTGCTCTGTGATATCTGCGATTCCCCAGCACACACATATTGCGTTGGTTTGGGGCGGGAAGTTCCTGAAGGTAATTGGTATTGTGATGGTTGTAGACCAGTTGCTTTGGGATCTTCAAATTCCCAAGATCAAGAACGTGTTGCTGATCCAAGGATAACAACCCAGAGCATGCCTGTTAGACCACCCCCTCTTCAACATGTACGAGAAAGTATAGACCTCAACTTGACTTCTTCACCCCGCGCAGCTTTTAATCAAGGATTTGGGCATCTTTCATCTTCTAGGTTTACTGGCAGAAGTGTCGAAGGAGCTTCTCCAATACCTGGAGGGGCACCAACTTTATCAGAGAGACGTTGGATACACCGTCAAATTCATCAGCTACTTTCAATAGATAGGATGACCTCTGCAACTGGCAGAACTAATGGTATTTCAGCTACCAGTTCAACTAGTAACTTACATAGCTCTCAAATTGATCAAAGTAGGGAAACAGCCACTCAGTATGCAAGGACACAGGATGTGGGAACATCATACCATACATTTTTTGAGGAGAGATTGTGCAACAATAGCTCTCCATTAATGCAGAATGGGGCATTATGGCCTGGACTTATGGGAACACCCCCAGTACCAGATTGTGAACAAGTCCATCAGTTCAGCAGATCAAACGTTGTCACTGATGGTAGCTTGTTCCCTGCTGTCAGAGAAGAGAGTAACTTTCACATTGCAATGGAACAGTTGCAGTCGATGGTTAAAGACCACCTGAAGAATTTGTCTCAAAATATTGATTTAGGTAAGTATTGCTTTTCTTCTATCAGTTACCAATATTTTATTTTTACCATTTTTTCCCGTTCATCATATGGGGAGGGAGGGCTTTTTGCCACAATCGGGACCTTCCCCCACCTTTAGAGACATGGTACATGACCATCAAACCACAAGGCCAGATCAAGACAGGCTTTCCTGTCATGTGAAGAGAACCTTCATTGAGGTACCTGTGCATAATCCTTTTTCAATCAAGCATTGGAATAATATTCCATCATGATTTCTAATAACAGGGAAAATGCATCATGATTCCATTGAAGTGCTTTTTGCTCATCTCACTGAGTTTTTCAAAATGCCTTTTATTTTATTGATTCAGGCCACAGTACTTCCAAGGACATTACAAGGAGTTCTATGCACACCATACTAGCAGCTTGTGGTCTTGAGCACAAGAAGAGTGAGGTTTGCACTGTGCCTCCCCCATCCGTGTGTCCGCACATTGAACTAATGGCTGGTTGGCAAACGAGTCTGATTAAAGGTTGCTGCTCATCTTGCTTTGATTCTTTTGTAGGAGATGTGGTGAAGAGGATTTTGGACACAAGAATCTCGTCACAGTGGTTACGATTAGGTCTTTAGGCATTATTGCAATTGTTAGGAGTTCAGAAAGACAAGAATATTCATTCACTTTTTTATACATATGAAATATGATTCACTACCTTTGACAACAAGGCTGCCTATGTGTTTTTTTAGAGTTTATTTATTTTTTATTTTATTTTTTTTGGTAAACATTTATAGAGTTTATTTTGTTTATGCGCTCATGCACAAGCTGATCAAGAATAAGCTTCACAGTTTGCTTGGTTGAATTAAAAAAAAAAACATGGAAATGGGAATCATTTGAAATGAAAATCATTTGGCATGTTTGGTTTAATAAATTGAGAGAAAGATATTTGTGTAATATTAGTTTTCTTTTAAAATTATATTAGTTTTTATTATTTTTATTTTTATTTTTCGCACAACCCTCAAAACCACATCCTTTTGGAATAACAAGAGATAACTTAACTTATGTGACAGATGAAATATTAAATCCTTGATAAAAATATCATAAAGTAGAAAATAAAATAAAACTTTTTATACGTTGTGTGTCTTAGCTCAGATATCTGGACAAGCCAAATGCGTGTCGGACACGTGCGTGTCCGACATGGACACGTCCGACATGCTGTCAATATTTTAGGATACGTGGTCAATTCTCCGACACATTTTTTCGACACACAGTCAATTTTTTTCTACACGTGGTCAACGCTCTGACATGCTCTAACACGTTTTTTTTTTATTCTTAGTTTTATTTTATTAAAAATAAAAAAAATTATTTATAAATCAATTTTTTTCTGTTATGAAATTTGACATGAAAAATTAAAAGGTACGATTTTTTTATTTTTTTTTTTATATTTATGTTATGAAATTTGAATATTTGATTGGTTATATGACTTATTATGAACTATTATATGTATTAGATTATATATATTAAAAATATTATTTAATATCAAAACGTGTCCCAACGTGTTGAAATCTGCCATTTTTTAGAATTAACGTGTCGAGTTTCGTGTGAATAGTGTCCGTGCATTGTCTTAGTTCTGGTTAAAAATTATCTGTAACTTCTATTTTTCACATTCCTACTACATGTTTAACTAAGCAACCCTTTAAATAAGAATGGTGACTATCGTATTTGAAGGCTTTGGAGGAAACCACATCCTATAGTTATGCGGAGTTCCGACGGTAGGCTCTTCCCCTTTATTGGTCTCGAAGTGGAATATTTTGCCCCAGAATTTACAGCTTATGGCATGTCATGATTTCCTCTCAAACTGATCCTCCAAAACTGTTCCTTTTATGTCACCAGCACTGGGAAAATACCCAGCAAGCAAGGATCAATCACAAGCCTATACATTAGTTGTTTTGTCTCTAAAATTTTCCCTCATTATACCAGCAGCGGACACCGATTTTGATAATTTTCAAAATGAAATTCTCATCTTTTGAGATTTCTTGTTTTTGGTTTTTTGTTTTGTTTTTTAAGAAAGAAAACACATTGTGTGCTGGCACATTTGCAGGTATATGCGATGTTGAGGTACCCTGTTATTTCCTGTGACTTCGAGAAATCACAAAAAAAATAAACTGAAATATAGGAGGAAGAAGCTGATTGAACACTGGGTCAAAGTTCTAAACATATGCAAAAATCAGTTGCAGTAGGAGAGGAACTTTATCTATTTCATTTAAGCTTTACGATCTGAAATTAAAGGATATGAAACTCTTGAGCTAAAAACATCAGTTCACATACAACATACATACATTACATTCATTTTCCACTCCTTATTCCACTCTGATCAAATACATAGACAATTTCACTAGACAAACCATAGGTTGCAGGTATCGCATCTGTGAATTAGCCCGCCACTGAAGCAGCCATCCTGATGAATTTCCTTCATGAATTGTCATCAAGCATGGTGGACAGCAACAGCCCTTGAACAAACTCGCATCTTTTTCCCTTCTCCTCCTTATCCTTGACTGAAAGGGTTGATGACTCCACATTTCTGTACAGAAATATTAGTCATGTCATGTTTGAAGCTAAGAGATACTAGAAGACAACCGAACATGTGCCACTTGATGTATTATTTTTAGAATGAATGTTTTGCAACAAGGCACTAAATTGATTGGTTGGGAAGGCGAAAGGTTACAGAAACATTAATGTCAAAATAAACTGAAAAGAAAGAAAAAAGATTTAGAGAAAGGAAATAGAATGTTCAATTCAACAGGCTGGAAGCTATAAATAAATTCAAACAAATTAAACATGCCGACATCTCATGGTTGGTACTAGTGGGAGAAAATAGGTCCCTTAGCTTTTCAGGCATGTGTAGTGTGTGTAAGAGAGGATAAGGAGGAAAAAAACATCTTAGTAAATACAATCTTATCCTAGAATTTTGCAATACGAGAATGATACTAAAAATTTCTTATCCTAAAATTTTCTCTATTGCAGTGTTGCATGAAAAACAGTAGATAGGAACAGTATGGCATGATAAACTCATACAGGAATACTAGCATAATATTGAGCAGAATTCCATGAAAAGGAAGTTGCAATTTTTTTTCAAAAAATTCAAAATTGAAATAGAAATACCTTCTTGATACAGTCTCATCTGAGCATTTCTTGGATGATCTTGTCTCAGGTTGCGAGTGAGGCTGAGAAATGTTAAGTTCATTAGCTAAAGGCGATATAAATGATGACAACAGTGGATCAGGTGCTGCATTCGATGATGACACTAAACACGAAGACCCGCCAAAAAGGGATTGCAAATTTCCTTCTCGCAGCTCCTTCCTCAATAAAGATAGTGTTGAATAAGATCCACCTTTACGTGGTTTCCTTTTGCGCTGCATGTATTCACTAGTTAAGGAATTCAACCAAGTAATTGGGTTGGGTCTAAACATATTTGTTTTTTGTTTCAATTAACCATAAAAGGGTATACTTTTTGGAAACATATCTCATAATGTAATAAAAGTTGACTTACTAAATGCTCAAAAAACCGGCAATTAGGTGAAAAGTTTTGTACTAATAACCATTTAAGAATTGGCAAAACCAAATTTAACTCAAAAACAAAAGGATATCTTAAATATACTTCCATGTTGTAGGGTTATGTGTGCTACCATATCAACCCCTACTCTCAATGCACAAACTGGACATACCTGCATACAGAAATGCTGTTATCAGCAAAACTATTGATTTCCCACTACTTACTAAAAAAATGCATAACCTTTTTCCAATTTAAACACCTTATTATTATTCTCAATTTGAAAGTTGACTTTATCTATACAAAACAGGAGGAGAAAGATACGTGGAAATGAACAAAAACTTTAAAGCTATGCACTAATTGAGCATCTATTAGACAGCAAATACAGGAAACCCCCGGAAGTAGCTTAGAAAAACGGTAGAAGGCAAATGAAAGTAGTCATACCCCATTTTTTGCTTCCATGGGATGCTCTTCATCAATGTGGCAGCATAATCCAACAATATCAAAATACTCCGAACAAAACGGGCATAGAAACTCCTCCCTTATATCATCGTCCACATCATTTTCATCAAAACCCATGAGCATATCTACATATATGCAAAATCTCACATCAATAAGTGCAAGAGGAGAAACCAATATTAAATACTTTAACATAAACAATAACAAACACCAGAACGTGAAAATTCAGAGGAGAAAGGGGGCAGAGGGTTGGGGAGAAGAGAATCTTAAGATTCAGAAAATTCTTCTCTCCAGTAAAGCCATACAATTTAAAATTGCATTGATAATTATCCCGTGCAACAGAAAATGAGACACCGTGCAACAGAAAATGAGACACCAAATGACAATTTGGATTGTGCTTTTAAGGGAAACTATGCTTCTAATATTTCATAAAATTCGCATTTCTCTGCCAGTAGCAATAATCAAAACACATCAAATAACATTAAAAAAAATAAAATAACTATCAGCTGAACAACTTTTAAACATAACTGTGGTGTTAAGTTCAGCGAATTACCGAGTGAGGACAAGGGGGAAAAAATCAATTTTTAAGTTGTGTCTTTATTTTTTCTTCTTCTACATACATCAAAACATGTAAAAACCTAATCCCCACCCCATTTGTAAATTCTAACAGTGCAGAGTCTCTGAAGTTAAGCATTTTTTTTGTTTTTTTTTTTGTCATAGACATCTCGTCCTCCCCACGAATAAAGTAAGCAACACGAGAAGGAAAACAACAAAAGGGAAAAATTGAAAATAATAGGCAAGAAATTGTGGAAGCGTAAAAAGAGTAGAGAAGATGAACCTGATCGAGATTGAAGAGCGGATTGATAGCGCCAAGAGGCAGAAGATAGACGAGCACTCCAAGATGAATCACCCTCCATAGCTTCTCTTCTCTGATCTCACAGATTAGGGTTTTTGATTTTGTGGTGGGTTTGTTGAGGAAGGAACAACAGAACGATGAAGATGTCGAGGAATTTCACCCCAAAGAAATCCAACTACGTTTTCCTCTGTTCATTTATATCCTTTTTTTCTTTTTCTTTTTCGCATTTAGTTTTGTTTTCCATTTATTTTTAGAGTTTGGTGTTTGTATTTTTAAAGGGTTGGTCGCTTCTCCTTTCGTTGCTGATGAGAAAAATTGCAGCAAATTATTAACACTAGGATACGGGGTCGTATCCTGGCCTAAAAAAATCATCAGGGTCCGAACGCGTATCCTGATGAAAATAAGTGTTGTTGCACTTTTTCTCATCTACAGTGACAGAAGAAGTATATAACTCATTTTTAAAATAGATAATTGTGTCATTTTTTCTTCTAAATATATCCTTTAATGTGAAAAAAAAACATGATATGATCATGTAAAAAGATCATAATTTTATAAAGATAAATCAACTGTTATAATTTTATAATTATCTATTTTAATATATATTTTTTTCTTTATTACCATTAATCCACCTTTGTATAATTATGATTCTCCACCTTATCATATCATGTTTATTTAAAACATGAGAGGATCCATATCCTTTTTTCTTTTAGTACAACATACGTGAGAGAATATATGATGGAATTTATGGAAGTAAAAAGTAGGCGCTTTTTTTAATTTAAATTTTAAAGAATAAGATATTGTTACTACTAAATAATGTTACTATCATATTTTAATGGGTTCACTTTTTCTACAGTCAATATAAATAACTTATCTACAGAGAGCCTAAAATGACGTTGTTTTGAGGCAAAAATCAAGGTATTTTTGTATTATAATTTATTTCAGGGTTATACTAGTCTTTTTCATTATAATTTTTTAATTTTTCAACCCAAAACGACGTTGTTTTGGGAACGAATGTAGATAACTTATCTACATTCACTTTAGAAACATTAAAGCCTATTTTAATTGTTGATTTTCGTCAATCAATGATTATTATTTATTGTGAATTAATAATTGATTAACGGAAATCAACGGATAAAATATGATAATAACAGTCATTGGATAACTTTAATGTTCTACGTAGCCCCTCAAACGAACCAAATGACAGTCGTATGGTGTGTAGAATTAAAGGGTGGGTTAGAAGAGATTGGGAGGTCAAGTTTAACTATACCAACAGATAGAACAATGCTTGCGTATATTAGCTCGCAAAGGCTGCACTCAGAGGAGCTCATGGTCTCCAAGTACTCATGCACCATCCTAAGGAACTGGTGCAACTATTTGAGGCTGATTGGAGTAATTTAGTTTCGTCTACTTCTGATATTTCTATGTAGTTTTTCTTCTCGGGGCTTCTAGTCCCTTATGCTTACCAAAAAAATATATGGTAATACCATTGGTAGTTATATTATTTGGTAGTAACATTATTTGTTAGTAACAATATGTTATCCCAAATTGAAGACAAATGTTTTCCCCTTATTTTTATGGAATTTTTTTTTTATCTTCTTAAAGGTTATAGAATTATGTCATTTTAAGTGAGAAAAAAAATAAACTAATATTTTTTATTAAAAAAAATCACTCACTTTATATTACTTGTTTTTCTCTTTTACTTAAAATGACAAAACTTTATGTGTTTTAAAAGGCTTATTAAAACACATAGAGTTATGCCATTTTAAATAAGAGAAAGACACAGATAGGGGTGATAAATGAACCAAGGGTCTTTGGCTCGGCTCGAGAAGGCCTGAGCTTATATGTCTAAAATTAATTGTTGGAACTATGCTTGAACTTGTATAAAAGCTCAATTAATAAAAAGACCTCAGGCTCCAATTTAAAAGCTCGGCCTTAAAGCCTCTTAGGCTGACCTAGTATATTAATTTTTTTTTTTTTTTATATTTTTATATTACTTGTAATAGCCTCCTCTCTTTCTCCTTAATCCATTTCACTCCATTTTATTGGTTAAACAGATTTTTTTAAGAATTTTGTTCTATATTATGTTGTTTGGATATACATTAGATTTATGAATATTTATAGAATTACTAGTGTTGTTTGGAGAAATTTTTGTTGTCTTGTTTTTTTTTAACAGGCTAAACCAAACTTTTATTTTTTATAAATAAGTCAGGCCACAGGCCGATAATTATATTCTATTCATAACAGGTAACAGGCTTGGTCAGGCTGATACATTTAAACACAGGCTTAGCCTTTTAAGATCAAAACTCGGTTAGACACGGACATTAGAAAGCATGAGGAATAAAGTGGATGATTTTTTTAATTTAAATTTTAAATAAAAAAATATTAATTTATATATTTCTCTCATTTTTTAAATGACACAATTCTACAATATTTCTCAATTTTTATTTAGTAATAATAAACATTGGTGCAAGGCACGTGACTGTTCGTTTCGTGGTGAAGTTGGATCACGTGACGGGCGATCTAACTCATCTTTCTGGTTTGACTGTTACGAAAGGAGGGAGGTTGGGTGTGCGTGTGTTGTTTGAGATCATTGGGATCTGAAATGGCGTCGAGGAATCGCACTTTGCTGTTCAGAAAGCATAGAGATGCATTGAAGAGTGTTCGGGTTCCGTCCACCTCTTCGCCGTCGTCAACCACCACTTCCCGCGGTGGCCCCGTCATCGAATTGGTCAGCACCTCCCTTCTCAATCCAAGTCGCTCTTACGCTCCGCTTAGTACCGACGATCCCGGTAATTCAAGGTCCGCTTCTCAGATCTTACAATGTTTTGTTTTTATGCATGTCATTATGGATCAAATGTCCAAAATGCCTAGATCCATAGCTTATTTCATTGGTTTCTTTTATATTTATATTAATATGTAGGAGTTCTCACATTTACTGTTGAAGTTTGTAACTTCAAACATGAAGCCATAATTGCAAGGAGTTTTAGCTCAGAATATTAGTGTATGGTACACTTTAAGATTATCAGTAAAGATTTGGGAATTAGAATTACCATGAAAAATTGGACACTTGATTATAAAAATATTATGCAGGGTTCAATTCTCTGTCTTTTGTTTTTCACATGTTTCAAGTTATATAAGATTTGGTAATGGTGGTTATTTTTTATTTTTTTTATGGATGCAGTAAGGGTCTAAATCCAATTACTGTGGGGCTACCTCCAGCGTGGGTGGATGTGTCTGAAGAAATATCAGCAAATGTGCAACGTGCACGCACAAAGATGGCAGAGTTGGCCAAGACTCATGCAAAGGCTTTAATGCCATCATTTGGAGATGGTAAGGAAGACCAACATGCTATTGAGTCGCTAACTCACGAGATAACTGACTTAATAAAGAGATCAGAGAGGAGATTGCGGAGACTATCTGCTACTGGGCCATCTGAGGATTCCAATGTCATGAAAAATGTGCAGGTATCAGTGCCGAACTATCAGATAATACTGATAATAGAAGATGGATTTTTTGTTTTTGGCCCATAAGAATAAATGTGTTTTATTCAACTCGAAATCTATATGGGCTCTTCATGAACTAAACATGAGACTCTTCCATGGTATCACTGCTATCGTTACTGTTTTTATATTTTTAAGGGATTGAAAAAGAAAGTTTATCAGAGAAAAGATAGAGAAATTAAAATGAGTCGGGGAGGTGGGAAGATATCCTCCAATACATAAAATGTAAAAGGAAACAAAGATCCACAGCGACTTAGAAATCAATAATGATATCCAGTCTGTACATGTCACAAATGAAAACTCCATCCAAATAACTGTGACATCAATAAAGACCATAAATGAATGGGCTTATAGGCATCCTTAAGGATGTGCAGAGAGAAGCCTCAAAGACAATCCCATCCCATAACATATCCAAGGGCATGTAGACACCCTTAAAGATGCACACATTTTGCTTCAACCAAATAATTGCATAAACTGCAGTCACAAAATTTGGCCTCCTTATTTTTATTAAACCCTTGAAAATATTCTCCAATAACACCAAACAACTTATTCCAAAGGACTGCACATAAAACACATATCAGCAGAAATAGTTGTATGGTACCCTATTGCTTAGTGCTGCTCAGTGAACTATATCAAGTTCCCATAAACAACCCCTGCCAAAATAAAAAATATTCATGTGTCAACTATGAGCTAACAGATAGTCATTTCAAGTTTTATTATCCTGGCAGTCAAGTGTGCTACATCTTAGAATCAGAAGGTCTATTTAGAGCACTTGGCAGCAAGGAGGGGATCAGTGAAAGGCATATGATAACTATTTACTACTACGCTCTCCCTCTCCATGTCTTCTCCACCCATATCCTTCTTGTGGCTTAATTCGTACCCTTCTCTTGAAGTCACCCTTGAGTTTTTGTGCTTTGTTAAATAATCCGGACTCTCTTGCTTTGAGTTGCATGGTCAGGGCAAGCATACACATGATCCTTTTTTAATTGCTCCGAATTAGAAGATTCTCCGAGTTAATAGAAAAATGATTCCAACTTATGAGCATCTATCTTCCTTTTACCCCTTCTTTTCTAGAATTGATGGAGAAATATTCTACAAAATGCATTGATTTCTGTACCCATATTAGGTTGGAAAAGACCAGTGTTCATTCACTTCGTTGCTAAATATTGTATTCATTTCCTGTCTTTCTTAGAAAGAAAGCTGGCTGGGTCATTTATCCATGATATTCTGTCTATGATGGTCCCTTGACTTTCAACTGTTTAATATTTATGTTTGAACATGTGTTTCATGTCATTCTGTCTTATTCGATAACCTTGCAATCAGTTGTAGCTTGTTCAACATTTTCTTATTTTGTGTGTATCGCATGCAGCGTTCTCTTGCTACTGACCTTCAGAATCTCTCTGTAGAGCTCCGCAAGAAACAATCAACTTATTTGAAGCGCCTCAGGCAGCAAAAAGAGGTGAGGGAAAAGCTTTTTGGTTTACTTTTTTTCCTTGATTAATAGAAGAAAAAGGTTGGCAATTTTTTTCCCGGGTGTTTACTTTTTTACTTGTACAGTATGTTTATAGCAACAATTTAAAAAAATATAAAAAGTAACATAATCCTGCAATTCAATTTGGCTCATTAAATTCTACCCTCAATTCTAATTTAGTTTACTGTATAAAACTGCATCTCTCATGTCTTGCCACTTTTTTGGTCGGGTTGAGGGCAAGTGATTTCTTTTTAATAAGCTAACAGTGAACAAGTGATGGAGGACACTTGGTCTTCTGTTTTGAAGGAATAAACTAAAGGAAATTGCTCTGCTTACCTCACTCACTTCTTTGCTCTGTGTCTCATTTCAGGAGATTATCTCAATCCTCATACTATACATATCACTAAATAACGTATGGATTTTGTTTTAAAGCTTTCGATTATCATTTTGTGATGATGCAGGGTCAAGATGGGGTTGATCTAGAGATGAACATAAATGGACGTAAATCCAGATTTGAAGATGATGACTTGGATAGTATGGTATTTCCTTTTCCTTTTCTTTTTTGGTTCACTTCTGTCCTTCTTGAGAAGGAGGGAGGTGGGCTAATATTTTTATCCTCGATCTGTTTATGATCCATTCATTCACTGGAACATTAATTGACAAATTCTATTATCCATATGGTCATACCCAGTATTGGCTGTGGTTGAATATATATTAACAGTTGATCGCTGATACTATCAAATTATATATATGTAGGTATTTAATGAGCATCAGATGGCTAAGCTGAAAAAAAGTGAAGCATTCACAGTAGAAAGAGAAAAGGAGATCCAACAGGTAAGAAAAAGTTGCATATGCACTGTAATTAATGACTTATGTTGACTTTATGTAGTGTTCTTGATTAACTTACAAATTTCTTATTCTTTGCTTTTATAGGTTGTGGAATCTGTGAACGAGCTTGCTCAGATTATGAAGGATTTATCAGTACTAGTCATAGACCAGGTCAGCAGATACCCTCCTCCTGTGGGGAGTTGAAAACTTGGAACACCGACTAAAATGCCACGGTTCACCAAGTTTTTTACCTAAATGCCACGCGAACAGTGTTATTCCCAATCTGCCACGGGTAGGGATGGCAAAAATGAGCCAACCCGTCGGGTTGGCTCGTAACCCGCACAAAACGAGCCGGGTTGGGTTGGCAAAAATGAGCTGCCAGCTCGATTTAGCCCGACCCGAGCCAACCCGAGCTCAAACGAGCCAGCTCGCGGGTTACTCTTTTTTTTTTTTAATAAAATACAATGGACTTTACTGATGGATTCTCCACTGATGGACTTTACTATATTGGTCGCTTTTGCAGGTCCTTTTTTTTCATGATTGACTTTTGATTTTAGATGCTTATCGTTGAAATATATAATGGATTTCTTTTATTTTTTATTTTTTGGCTTTATATACGTTTTATGGTTATCGTGAGTTAGAGTAATTCAGAAAATCATGATAAATGACTCCTGTGATTAGTGGAGTGGTTTGTGTTTCATTTAATGTTTTTGGATTTTGTAAACTACTCTACTTGTAGTTGGACTGCAAAATACAATAATTTTATACAGGAGAACAAACCACAAAAATTAAAGTTTTTGAGCCAACCCGCGAGACAACCAGCGAGCCAATATTTTGAGCTAACCAACCCGCGAGCCAACCCACTAGCATCATTTCGAGCTAACTCGCGAGCTTTTTTTGAGCCAACTCGTGAGCTTTTTTACGAGCCAACCCGCGAGCTGATTATCGAGCCAACCCGCGAGCCAACCCGCGAGCCAACCCTAACCCGGCTCGGGTCGAGCCGGGTTGGGTTTTCTGGCTCATTTTTTTTTTCGAGCCAACCCGACCCGACTCATTTTTTTCGGGCTGAATGCGGGTCGGGCCGGGTCGAGCCGGGTTGGCCCGTTTTGCCAACCCTAGCCACGGGGGCAAGTTCGCTACCCGGTATAGCGAACTCGGTCTGCTGAAGTGTCACATTTCTAGTGGATAACAAGTACCCAGTTTAAAAAAAAAAAGGATGGAGTTCGTTACCTCATGTAGTGAACTTGGTGTCCACTAGAAACGTGACACGTCAGCAAATCGAGTTCGCTACATCGGGTAGCGAACTTGCCCCCGTGACAGATTGGGAAATAACACTGTTCGCGTGGCATTTAGGTAAAAAACTTGATGAACAGTGACATTTTGGTCACTGTTCCTGAAAACTTTCTAAATTCCGCACCCTTTTAAAAATTGACTTTCTTTATATATAGGGAACCATTGTTGACAGAATAGACTACAACATTCAGAATGTCGCTACCACAGTTGAGGATGGCCTTAAACAGCTGCAGAAGGTCCCACCTCTCTTCCTTGTCTACTATTTTATTTAGACTGTTTCTAGCTTCCCTCTTGTCCTCTTTATTTCTTTTCTCCCATGGTAATTATTTGATTTCCGGGACATGCAGGCAGAGAGAACTCAGAAAAAGGGGGGCATTGTAACGTGTGCTACGGTGCTTCTTATCATGTGCTTCGTTATGTTGGTTCTCTTAATCATTAAGGAAATTATTTTGTGAACCATGGTGATATTCGATTTTTTTATAATATTTTGGTCACATCTCGTTAATGTGACCTTTCCATTGACACACTGTCTCCTGCCTGCTCGGACATATTAATGCAGCCTTAGAGAAGACCAAGGAGTTTTGGAGCAGCCAAACCATATGTTCTGGATGGAGACACCATATTGATTCTCTTGCAATTTTTTATTTTTTTGCCACTGGGGAGGTAGGGCGGAGTAGGTGTATTAGAGGCATAAGAGATTAAGAGCTTTAGTGGTTGGTGTGGTATAGTAGAAAAGTATACATAAGGCCACAAAATGTATAGAGCGGTTGTATGAACCTCTACTTAAACATTATCTGTCTGCGGAATAGGTGCTGAGCTCTTTGATGCTTTTTTTTTGGGGGGTTTATATATCTCTCGGAGAGAATTGTGTCTTCTGCTGACACAAAACATAGGTGAGTCTTATCTCTGTTTTTTTTCTCTTTTCTCCTGTTTATGGGTCCCATTTGAGTTTTGTGTTTGCTATATGAGACAATTCTTTTTGTGTAGTAGGAGAAATATTTAAACCTTTTTTTTTTTTTTGTTGGACATTTTATCTCTTCCCCCCTCATGCTTCCTGCATTTATAGGGGATGGGAATTTTTTTGTGTGCAAAATTTCATGCAATAAAATTAAGGGGGTTTCTGTGAATTTCTTGTATTTAGAAATGCGGATGATGGGGGTACATTATCATCATCATTTACATATTCTCTCGTGTCGAAGTTAAGCCAGACTTTCAAAGTAAACTTCATAGAGAAGGTGCTGTTCAAATATAACTTGGGATTGTGAGGTCAATCTATCAATAAGTTATTTCCGTTCATTAGAGCATAAGATGTATAAACAGTTAGAAAATTATTATATGAGTTCAGCCATATATTAGGCAACTAATAAAATAAATAAATAAAATTATCCTTACAAAAGCCTAACAGAACAGCCTTAGTAATAGCTAAATGGATGCTCAGAAAAGAAAAAAAATGTTAATTGGTTCACTTTAATACTTCCTTTAAAAAAATTGAAATTAATAAAGTAAGTTAGTGATTGAGTAATAAAAAGTTTTATTGAATTTTTTATTATTTAATATATAATATTTGATGCAAAATTTATAATTTAAAAAAAAAACAATTTAATACTAAGGGGGTGCTAAAAAGACCTATAAAACTGTGTGTTAACCATTTGTTAAATCGATTTAACAATTTAACCACATATTGTTAGCCATAGGTAAATCTTAAATTCAACCTAATTTGTATGACAAAATAATATAGATGGCAAAGATAATATCAATATAATGCAGTAACTTCTGCATACACACGTTTCTTCTGCGGAATTGCCACGTGTTGTCTCGATACATATTTGAAAAAATAAAATAATGATGATTTAAATCGTGACTAATTTTATAACATTGTCATGTGAAAAGTGTACGGGATTAATCTTATGAAATTAGTCACGACTTAAATTATAACTATTTTTTCTCAAATTAAATTTCTAAATTTTTTATTTATTTTTTTTGGTACAATTTCTAATATTTTTCGTTTGCGACATGTGACAATCTAATCCCACATAAATAGGAAGTGAAATATATTATTTTAATAATTAAAAATTATATCAATAGGATCATTCACCCTCGTTATGCCACATCACTAAAGCAGTTGGGGTAGGAATACCTACTAGAGAAAGCCTAGAATCTCTGGTATTTGACAGAATGTCAAATATTTATCAGCTTATTAGTGTGTATTTGCTAGCAAGTGTATATTGGGATGAGTTTTTTTTTTTCTAAAAATAAAAATAAAAATATTTTTATTTTAAATTGGTTTAGATGTCTGCTTAAAAAAAAATAGAAGTGACAAAAAAGTCAAAAGTTTACTTGTTTTGGAAACTAAAAATTTTAGCTTTTGAAAAAAGTAAAAACCTAATATTTTTTCAAAAATTTATTATTTTATAAAAACATAAATAATTTTAACTTTTATAAAAAATTCTTCTAAAATAAAAAAATAAAAATTATTTTTTCTAAAAGCCCTATAAAAATCTAAAACAAAAGCCTTTTCTTACGTCACACCACTTGGGATTTGTGTAAGATTACCTACTAGGTTGCTACTGAAGGGAATTTTATTCCATGGTCTTTTTTTTTTTTTTCCTCACTCTCTCTCTCCTCTTTCTCTTTCTACTTTTTTGTGTCTTGGGGGACCAATGGGCCGGAAGCTCTATATTTTATCTCCTACTGAAGATAGCATAGAATCCCCTTGTATTTGATAGAATATCAAATATTTTTCACCTAAACTTCACCTATCCTAACAATTTTTTGCTTTTAAAAGTGTCCTATATGGCTTCATTCAATTTGAGTTAAATATTTATCAATTAATTAATTACATATTCATTTTTCACTTTATAGTTTGCTTTTAAGTAAGATTCTTTATAAAAAGAAATAAGAATTAGTGACTATAAATAAATTAATAAAATAAACATAATTTTTAACGTCAACGCTTTCGTAGCTCAGTTGGTTAGAGCACCCGTTTAGTAAGCGGGAGGTCTTGAGTTCAACTCTCAACGAAAGCATTATTTTTTTTTAGTAACGAAAAAGCTTCAAATTTTGGTAAACAATAATAGTAGATAACAAACAAATAAGGTTTGGTTAATATAAATAGCACCACCACAAAACCCTGACATAAAAATAGTCTGAATTCTTCTACTTAGCGTTCATAAAATCTGATATGCTGAATGAATTTTTGATGAGGCTAGATAAAGTCAACTTCCTATCAGAGGTCAACATGGGAAGTATCTCGGACAATGTGTTCACATCTACCATGGCCCTGTGAGCTGATCCATTTACTTTAATATTGTAGTGTTCACGAAGGGCAGCAAGGGATGCTGAAGATAGGTTTGTTCCTATACACAAACAACAGTGTGAAGTTAAGGTTTTCGTACGTAAGCACAAGTGTCTGTGTATGTGTGTTAAGAGAAACACAGAGAAAGATACTACCAGACTTCATCAGTTGACGTGCCAAAGGAAGGGTGTCCAAAAACAGCCAATTACGAGGAACCTCAGCAGAACAACGAATGAACTCATGAATGAGGAAAGGTGCATCAAAACGGCGAGCATTATGAGCAACCCACAAGACATAACCCCCATGTTTCTGACGGGTTTGAATGTACTGCAGTAAGATGGGAATCAGGTCCTCCATCCTACAAGAAATTTAGAAGAGCACAAGATTAATTTAGTCAATCAATTCAAAAACAAATGTCAAACATAAATAACGTGCTCACAGGCTAACATCTAGACTAGTTCGTTTCTTCCACTCTTTCATCAGAGCAACATTGTTACCGAAATTTCATCATGCAAACATGCGCATCAGTCCAATTGAGCAATTATGGAAGGATAAGAAAATTCAAGCACTATATTAATATTTGTTGAAATTGCTGAAAATTAATACCCCTTATCAGTTTGTTTATTTATAACGAGAGTCTTCTTTTCTAATTTTAACATAGCAAATATATTTTTAGTTGCGGATGGATAGTTATAGTAATGCCATAAACATTAGTTGTTGGCTGGAATATATAGGTCACGAGTGGCATAAATTGAAGCAAATCTGAACTAGACATAACGTGGTATCTAGACAAAAAGAGTTGGGTCATAGATTCTATCTCCACCAACAATCTTCATTGATCATATATTTCGTATTTCTACCAATCCATCTACATATCTTTGAAAATTTGTGACTTTGTGCTCAACCAACAAACTTGCTAGTCCCTATAAAATTACAACAATGGCAACCAAACCTAAACCCATCAGGTGGGCCAATCCGGGCGGGTACATCATGATATATTTCTCCTTACCTATTCATGTTCTTTAGACATAAACCTCCTCAACAAGGAAAAATATTGAGATGCCACTTACCACAATATATAAAAATTGACAGTCATTAGGTACCAATTACTTCTGGAATAATTCTACACCCATTTTGCAGTGGAAACGAAGAATGGGAAGCCTTCAGCAATTTGCAATGATTCGAAAACCACTCAAACAGCCTCCAAGGAAGGCTCTCCCTATAAGATAACTATGTCTATGAGAATATGCTGCTAAAGTAGTCTACAAGCATAGTTTCTAAATTTTAGGCTGTTCTATTATTTTCCCTGGTCACTTTGTCGACATAAATTCACTAATAATTTGTTTTGAAAAGACAAAGAGGAAGATGTTGTTTTGCAGAGCTAAGCATAATTCAAGGAACACATAATATGCAAAAGTCATAGAGATTTATATTACCTTGGAACATCAGGTCTGCAGACCATATTGGTAGCTATTCCATGAATACGTGAATTACGAACATAACGTTGAGGATTTACAAGAGTTTGGAAAGTGCTGTTCTCACCACCCTGGAGATCTCGAAGTGCAATCTCGATGATTCGTTCATTTACTTTGTTATACCCAGTAGTCTCAAGATCAAAAACAATAACAGTGACCAAATCAGACAAGTTTTTATACTGAGCAATCTCTTGTATTTCAGGGCACTGAATTTTCTGGAATTGATCTTGCTGTGTTTCATTTACCTTAACTGTAGCACTTGTTAACATTTTCTTTCTCAAAATTTCATGCTTGGTGCTTTTTGTTTTGGTGTTCCCAGTGGTTTGTTTACATCCTTCTGCTTTTGTAGCTACATGTCGTCTTTGATACCACTTCTTACAGAGTTGTCCCTCAAGCCGATCAATTCTAGAACCAAGTAACTTGATGCTAGAATTGTTTTTATAGCTCTTACTAAAACCGTGTAATTCTTCATTCCAATAATTAAGTAAGCTGTGTATTCTGCATCTGGGTACTAGTGGTAAGGGAAAAAACAAGGATCCTGTCCTCATCTGAATTCAGTAATTACAACTGAGCAATATCAAGCGATCAAGCACTCCTCATCACATGAGCCATTACAACCTGAAACGAAGATAAAACTGAAAAAATGTAATAGCCAAACAACAACAAAAAAAGTATGCAAGCATAGATAAATTATATTATGCGAAGTCACCCAAATAAACATATATCACATCGGAATAATAAACTATTATTTGTTAAATCCAGCATGACATGGACAACTATACAGAAACATCATACAGTTATAAATTCATGAAGAATGAAGAAAGAGATATGGATCACTTGGATTGATCTGATATATTTCAATATCCTCAAAAAAATTTGTTACACCCAGGAGTACATACATATATACATTCAGAAGTTCAACTTGCATCTAATGGCTAACCAATTTAATAAAATAATAGGCAAAACTTGTACCCAAATCAAAATGCTAGATGCGTCAAATAAATCACAGTGGCTGCAAGAATTGTTAACTCCAACAAAAAATGAATGAAATTTGTGTGTTTTTTCAATTGAAATCATAATATTCAAACAAATCAATATCATTACGTCAAATGATAGGCTAATAGAATAATGAATAAGACAATACAAATGCCAACTATTTAAAAGGGGGTAATTCTTTTTGAGATATTAAAAAATCGAAACTTGAACATAATAATTGGAATAAGTTTTTTTTTTTTTTAAAAAAAAAAACAGTGCAAGGTGAATGATTCAATGCTCATTTGCTGCATTACAATGCCTAAGATGACAGAAGATTCAGCAAATTGAAAATTTCCCGCGCAAGCAAGCACTGCAACAATGAAAGAAGAGGATTCGAGATAAAGAATATAAAGGGCATGATTCTTTCATATAAGAAAGAAAAAGCATTTCCAGAAATGGCCAAGTACATTAAGTAATAATTAGGAGCAGAACAAAGGAACTGAACTGAACAACGCAAGTTGCGAATGTGTATTCTTAGATTTTTTATTTTAAGTTTAAAAAATTAATAAAATATTTATTGAAGTAATTTTTATTTCAAATATCTTTCTTAAAAAAAATTAAATTATATATTAAGAAATCTTAAATTGCATACGATAATAAGAGGTAAAACAAAGACAGAATGTATTATAAAATAAGTCATAATTTTATTGCATGCGTATAATTTTACCAAATAAGGTATTAAAACTAAAAAAGATATAATTTTATTGCAGCCACCAGCTTCACTGTATGCATCAGCTTAAAGGTTAAGACCCACTCACCATTGTTACTTCTATTTCCAGCAACTATGCGTTTTAGTGTCTTCTGATTGGTCTCTCCCTTCTTAAACGTCGTTGGCTTCACTTCCAAGCGATTCTTCTGGTTCCACGGAAAATAGAGCGTAAGGTACCTCACATGTTCCTCTACGTCTGCATTCTGATTACACCTCAATGTTCGGTTTCTTATTGTAAATGGAAGAATTAAAAGGGTTAGGATCATTTTACACCAGTATTACACTTTTAATCTTGTCCGCTGATCCCACTTATATCTAATGGTTCAAATTTTTTAGTAATGTGAGTCATTGGATACAGGTGGATCAATGGTCAAGATTGAGTGTAAGACTTCTAACTCTTACACCGGTGAAAGAATATCCTGCCCCGAATTAAAAACATGGTCTAACTTTCGCATTGGTATCTCTTAAATGCCAATAACCATTACCTAGTCTAGGGCCCAAAACGGCCCACTCCATTTCTTAATAAAAACCATAAATGCATTCTGCTCTAGTTACTAACAAGGGATTCTTACTTCCATATATCACAATCAGGCACTCTTGCCATCCTTTACGTCCGAGTCCCTTGAAGATTTATCAACCCCATAAAAATATATGATTCCCTGTGCCCAATTTGCACTAGTCAGAAAATCATTACCGACCATCTGTTCAACCCGGTCTGAAATCCAGACTATATAGTATCTAAACCATTTAATAATTTGTTTAAATTATATTAATCCAAGTGTATAAAATCAACCGCCAAATTTGGCAAATGATTGATTTCTGTCAGTGTGGCTCAGATAAAAAACATACAAAACACATTAAAAGAAGTGCTAAAAACTGAAAAGAATGTTTGGATTAGGTGCTAAGCTCTCTCGTTTCTCGGTGAAAACAATAGCAATTACAAATTAATAATTTCTGAAGGGATGAATCCTGCGATGTAAAATTAGAGAGAAATATTCTTACTACCAAAAAAATTGACTATCAATCTAAACACTATTAAGAGAAAAAATACTGAAATGTTCATGAAGAGAGAAAAAACATTGTAAATAGGTAATGGGTTGGTAATAAAAAAATTTGACATTCCCTCCTCTTAAAATTATTAAAGAGAATCTCCACCTTATATTTTAGATTTGAACAATCGAAATCAACCAGACAATTTATTGTTGAACAACTGAAATCCTTTCCCATGATAGCATGTCATGAAAAAAATGGATAAATCCACTCCTTAATAGGGCACTTATTGGCAGTTGTCTTCCCCACCATTAATCCTAAGGACATAAAGAATTTAACCTTTGAAATCCGGGTCGAGCTCTTCTTGGCAACATCAGGGATAAAAGCATTCAACACCGGCTAAGCGTACGATTGAAAACATTTACAAATTTAATTCAAAAATTTTGATTTTGTCAAATTATTTGTAATTAAAAGTAAAATAAATCAATAGAAATATTTCATATATCCCAACACAATTTTTACTCAAACATGCTTTAAGAATCAAACCTGATTTTAATTGAAAATAACCAAACATGATTTTTTTCCTAGTAAAATCAAGTTTAGCATGCTTAAACGTGGGTTTGGGTGCCTAACTCACAACCAACCATAGACTAAATGCTCAATGCAAACGCAAATAAAGGATTTATGAGATAATTTCAGAAGAGCACACAACAGAGCTAGAATAGCATTGAAGTAAGCGCCCAAAATGCAAGTGTGCAACTATATATAATGTTTGAGAATACATAATAATTGCAGCACACTATTTTCTGCTGAAGACACACTCCCAAACCAAACTTAATAGTACTACAAAATGTACCAGGACCTACATAACAATGAATTTAGCTTCAGGGTAAACGTCATCGACAAAAAAACCTTGCAGGGGAAGGGGTAAATGAAAATGTCTTTCATTCCTTGGTAACTATAACGAAGGGCGGACAGTAGCATTTGGCATTTGCCAAAAAAACCCGCAATCGTAAACTGGAACTTACGGACTCCGATTTATATAACATATAGCAAAGGAAAAATCACGAGACTGAACACTAGTTCTATGCAATGATCACTTGGCAGAAAGAGAACTCTAGTATTCTCTACAGTGGCAAAAAAATCGAGCAACAACGCATCTGTCACCATGAGATATGAAAAACCAGGCATTGGCAAAAGCCCAAGCCAGCCCAGCAACCCTCTATTTACCAATGCTGGATATTGAAGGACCCAAGGACAATACAAGACATTGACTTGATACCCAACTGTTGTCCCATCATACTGGAGGACTTTACTGAAAGACCAGCCAAAACTCCTGCAGATAAAAAAATTTCTAAACAATGTTTGAACAATCGAAGAGAACACAAACAACATGCAAATTGCCAAAACATAATTCACTAGTTCCGTTAAAAAATATGCAGATAAACCAGGCCTAAGCCATATATAAGATGTTACCCCAGTAGAGCATGAATACCTTAATTAAAGTTGAATCCACCGGAAGGCAAAGCAGGAACCTCAGTGCCACCAAAGTTGAACCCCGATTGAGAACCATCTCCTGGAGGCATAGTCTCATCTTCTTCCTCCAACCAGTATGTCTCAAGAATCTTCACCGCCTTTTCATAAATTTCTGTGTTGTCGTGACTCTGGAGGTTCTCAATTTTCTCCAACCCCTCAGCATCATCAATCATTTGGGCATATAGATTCACGTCACCAGTATTGCCCATATTTTTATCAGCTTCTCCTACCTTCAAGATGTTTTCAAGGCCTTCCAAACAAACTGTCACTATCCTAGGATCAGGACAGATAAGAAGATCACACAAGGGCTTAATACACCCTTGACTTACTAGGTACCTGTCAACCAGGGAAAATAGTTCATATCTTGCACACACAAAAAAATTACAACGCCATAATAACCTCCTGGAGAATATGAAAATCACAAGCGTCGCATACTTGATTTGTTCATGAGATCCACCAGATGTAGCATTTGAGATAGCCCAAGCAGCCTCTTTCTTGATATCAAACTCAGCATTTTGAAGCAGATTGACCAAAGGACCAATTATATTAGCCTCAATCACAGCCTGTTGATCAATAGGGATTGAAGAAAATGTTCTTGCAATCAGAAATCAAAGAAAACAATATCAAATTTTAATTATCAGAAAAGGCAAAAGTAAATATACCTGAATCTGCTGTTTATTCCCAGCTGTAATGTTTGATATAGTCCAACAAGCTTCCTTCTTGATGCTTTTTTTATAATTATTACTCAACAGATTTAGAAGGCAAGGAAGAGCCTGGTGGTTGATGATAACCTATGGGGTAAAGCACCAGGTTAAAACAAACAGAAAACAAAAATTAAAGGATGGAAATCATGTTTCAATACTGAAAAAGTTCATTTCCAAAATATAGACATGATAAGGTGATCTCAGCATAAACCTAATGAGGTTGAGTCTTAAAAGAAGAAACAAGTCACAGAGTTGATTATCTCACACACCAGTAAAAATCCATTATCCATATGGCTCCAATCCAGTCCGAAGAAAGGTTTGGCATATAAATTCAACAATAACATTTCACTTTGATGTGTGAGAGAAAGTGAGATATGGAGTCAACGAATGACAAACTAACAAAGACTTAATAATCTTAAAAGGAGACAACAAAAACTATTTAACAAAAAAAAAAAAACCACTCCCCGTTAAACCCGACTAACGAGTGTGGGGTGGAGGAAATCCTTGTACGCAGCCTTACCCTTGCATAATTGCAAAGAATTTAACATTTCAAATAATAAATATCAACAAAAGGTCACAAATTTATAAGTGCTTGACATCAATGAGCATATGACTCCAGCAGTGAAAAGAAAAAATGGAGACATTATATGACAGGATTGTTCATGTGTGAAGCAAAAGGAAAATAAAAAAGGATATTGCAAATAATAGCCATGCTATCACTATCTTCTTTTTTCCTTAATGTAAAAAGGCTAAGTAACATACCGTACATAACAAAAAAAACCACAAGAGAATTTCCTGAACTTAATACCTGAGTTTGCATATCATCTCCAGTAACGATATTTCCAACTGTACGAAGAGCAGGAATTAGCACTGAAGGGGATGAATGCCTGAATAAGAGAATGGAACATTTAGAATTTGACAGCAAAATGACATTGAGGTGCATGCATTCTTGCCCAGCCATATTAGAAAAGTGGAGTACTCACAGTAGAAGCTCAACAAGTCTGGGACAAACATCAGCTTCAATCACTGCTTGAATTTTATCATTTGTACCATCGGAAAGATATGAAAGTGCCCAACAGGCATCAGTCAAAACCTCTTCATCATTTGAATGAATAAGACGGGCAAGAGCAGGAAGTGCAGGTTTAACCTGTGAAAAAAAGAAAGTAAAAAGTATGATCTGTGAAATAGAACATAATAGCAGCTATTAATCAATCAGTACAAGCATGATGCAAACAGGAAAACAAATACAGTTAAAAACCAATGATTGAGGGCCACTGGATAGCCATCCACGTTATTTTTTTATTGGTGCCATGAATTTCTAGTGTGGCTATTACTTGCTCAATACTGTTGTGGCTTTCACATACAAGTATAACAGGTAAGATTTGATTGTAATGGCTACTCAAGAAGTACATAAGTGCATACCTTGCAACTTCATAATAGAAATGCATGAAAGATTCCACTTAAAGAAAATGAAGAAAAAGCTGAAGGATGATGTTCATCAGATCACAATACCAACACTAATAAAGTATTTCATATAATGCAAGACCATAACGTTCTAATCTATAGGGTATCGACAATAAAATTCAAAAGAATAGAATTGAGTAATATATCCCCCCCCCCCCTTCTATTTCATTTGGATGTGACAGCAAGCAAATTTCAACCATGATTACCATTTATGTAGCATTTCACCTTTACAGAGGAGTGCAATCCGATAGCAAACAGAAAAGTAAGGATTAATAAATTGTCGAGACAATTATTCGGAGAGATTAGGCAATGCATATTTTTATACCTGATCAAAAGGAGGTTGTGGCTTGCCCCTGCAGAAGTTTGAAAGTGTCCAGGTAGCATTTCTAAGCATAGAAAGCTTGGCATGTTCATTCAATTGTGCCAACAGAGGAAGCAAAGCCCCATGACTGAGAACAAGATCACGGCATTTGGGAGAATCCCCAGCAACATTTCCTAATGCCCATACTGCCTGTGAGAACCCAAAACATCAAGGGTGAACGCCCAAATCCAAAAATCAACATGAACAAACAAGTTTCGTAGTCAAGAGCTATGCGTGTAATTTCATTTACACACCAAAATAAAAAAATATCTGGATCCAAATATTTAAAAAAATCAAATAAAAATGAATCTTCTCAGTTTCCCAGAGTTTCTGTATTTTATAGGTAGAAGAAGGTATGTTAAGAAATGTAAAATATACCTGTTCACGGACATCATCACTAAGAGAAGCAAGAAGCTTTACGAAAATTGGTACAGCACCGTGATCAATCACCACCTTGGTGTTTTCAGATGTTCCAGAAGCTATATTTGTCAAAGCCCAAGCTGCCTCAAACTGCAACATGCAATAGATGATGTCAACACTACACAAGCAGAAATAATATACTAAACAAAACAACGCAGATAACAAACCTGCAACTGCGGAAAGTCTTCCCTCATCAGAAATTCAACAAAGCGAGAAACTACACCAGCCTGTATAACCTCCTCAATCGGTGGACAACGTTCTGGTACACACACAAAAAAAATATTAATCAAAGGACCATTAAAATCCACCAGACAATAAACGAGGTACAGAGACCAATCTCTAACCAATCGAAAGCAACTTCCGAAACTGAGTTGTTGCCTCGAGCTGCAGGTTATTATCATCACTCCAAACACCTGCAACCATGGATGGTAGGTGTTCCAACTGCAGCAAGGTAGAAATGCAACTATAATTCAGAAAACTTCCCCAACATGTTCATTCAAATCGAAGAAAAATTAAGCAAATCACTAAGTGATATCGAGATTATAACGAACTTAGCAAATCAATTCAACAATCAGAGTAATAAACAAGTAATTTCTGATACTAATTTGTGAAACATACATATTAAATAAATAAAAAAATTAATTTATTGTAGAGAAAATGAAAATTAACCTTCTTCTCTACCACAGTAGAGTGAAGAGATGCAGGCATCTGCTGAGGTTGGAGGCCCTCGCGCCTCTTCTTCTGCAAACTCTCTTCTCTACGGTTCTTGCGGATCTCCACCATGGTGTCCTCCCGCCGTCTCCGACCTTCTTCCGCATCCACCGCCACCTTGTATCGGTTCCGACGGACCTCGGTCCTCGCGTTGCCGGTTGGGCGATACGACATCGTTTAAGAAGCAATCAACGGAAAGCGTGAGAAGAAGAAAGGGACGAAGCAAGCACAGCACTGGTCTATTGGTTGTTGACTGGTGAATCTAACCGTAGGGTTTCAGATAGATTGAGATAAAAATATATAGATAAAGAGAGAGAGAGAGAGAGTGGGAGAGAGAGGAAGAGATTTTGGGTTTTCTTTGGAAGCTTGAAAAAGGAGAATTGAAAGGGAAAGCTTTATATGTAAAGTTGGAAGGAGAGGCTGGGACAAAACTAGACCTGGATCGGCTCACATTTGCGGAAATGCCACTGGTTTGAATTCGAAGAAGGTGAGGGAAAAAGTCACTATCGTTAGAGATTGGAGATTTCAGTTGTAGTTGGAAACTGGAAAGGTAAGTAGGGCTTTACTTGATTGCCCAAATAACTTATTATAGGGCCCTCAAACTTGGCCCAAATATTTCAAACTTGGGCTTAGTTTAAACCTTTGATAATTTTTAAGAACCAAAAAATGCGCAAACATTCAATAAGAAAAACTGGTTTTGGATGAGGAAACTAAAGAATTATTCAGGCGCAGGTTGGTATGTATGAGAATTAGTTATAGATAGAAAACCAGTTCTAAATCCGTTCTGACTCTTCCAAAATTGGTTATGGATAAATAAATTTAGTTTAAAACTGGTTTTGAACTAATTGTAAATCGATTATGAAATGGTTTTAAACCTGTTTGAATATAGTTTTGAATTGGTTAAAAATGGATTTAGCAAAATGAAGCATAGAAGGGCCGAGTGCAGGTTATTTTTGTTTACTAGGCTTAGTAATTAACAAGAATCTTTGTTGATGTGTTGTATCTACAATTCAAAATAAATCTTGGATATGGATATATCATGAAAGAATACAACGGAATCAAAATTGAAGAGCATAGGGATATTATTCACACCACTGTCTCAGCATCTATAGAATAAAACAACTCGTGTGACAGGATTTGACTACTTATGTTGAACAACCAACCGCCTTGCACATCTGGCAAATGCGATCCATTAAGGAGCCAACTATTCCCTTCAATGCGCATTGCAGAGAGAGCCCTTTATTGAACTATTTAGTGCCATTCCTCTTAGGTCTGGCAGTGGATCAGCATAGACTTGGTAATTATGTTCTCCTTCATCAAAATATGAAGTTGAGGTGAATGGTTTGACCATAACCTGAACATGTCTCTCAATGACAAGCACAAAACAGGCAAAAGCTCATACGAAAATTATTCAATTGGAAAAGCAGGTATTGTGAAAAATAGACAAGAGCTATAACTAGGAGCTACATGCATAAGAAACCATAAGTTTTGAATTTTGAAGGCAGAGACAATTAACCATATAAAGATTTGTGAAGTTCATCATTGTAAGGAGACATTGCGGCAGAAATTAACGATAGCATGATGTCCCAGAATTGCCCCTGGTGTTTTGTTCGTTATATTATAATTTTGGGAATAAAGTTTACAAAGTTACTTTAGAAAAATTTATTTAATGTTCACCATAACGACATAGTTTTAGGTTGAAAGATTAAAAAATTAGAATGTTAAAGACTATTATAACCATGGAATAAATTAAAATTACAAATTGATCACACCAAATACAATGTGAGCTGGCCAAAGTGTAATGGTCAAATTACACATGGTTGAAGTGAGAAGGCTTTAGGGTAATCACAAATTGATCACGCACATCAGGTAGGATTTTGGTTCTCCTTTGGCGCGGTGAGCCTGACTGGGGGTACCTGCAATGACACTCCGACACTCAAGTCAGTATCAATGTCAGGTTTGTGTGTATTCTTACTGAATTAGAAGATAATACCTGGGCATGTACCCTCTGTTTTTATAGTGGTTCTGATGCTGCCTTAAGAAGGCGGTATGGCCTCTGATTGGCTGTTCAAGGGCTGCAGGTTCTGATAGTGCTTTAATAGTCTTATCTCTTGATGTCAGGCTACCTTGATAGAGTGGTGGCAAGGTGGAGCTGTCTTCTGTTTACTTGTTCAAAGGCGCGGTGGACCTTTATTAGTTCATGAGCTTGCTTCCTTATCTCTGAAGTTATGGAAATATTATATTTATTTCTATCTTTGTATGGTTATGATTTCCCATATTTAATGCTGTCATACTATAAAATGACATAGTTTTATATGACTGCACCAACCCTTAGGTGCAGTCACTGTACATCCGCTAAACCTTACATATATATATATATATAGGGAAAAATATTTCTCAGGCAGCTTGAGATAAGTTTATCTCCGGCTATCCCAAAACTAAGTCGTTTTATTTATTTATTTTCTTATATTAATTGATTCACCTTTGAATGATTATGATTCTCTTTTTCTCTCTCTTCCTTTATCACCATTTATCTATCTTTGTACGGTCATGATTTAGTAGCCAGAGATAAAATTATCTCAAGCAGCTTGAGAAACGATAAGCCCATATATATATATATATGGGATAGGATCATTTGACACCAGTGTCAAATTTAAAAATTTGACACTAAGTCCTAACTGTTGATTTTCGCCAATCAACGATTATCATTTATTGGAAATCAAACTTATTGATTAATTATTAATTTCCAATAAATGATAATCGTTGATCGACGAAAATCAACAGTTAGGATTTAGTGCCAAATTTCAAAATTTGACTCTGGTGTCAAAGGATCCTGCCCCTATATATATATATATATGAATGTTGATGTGATGTTTCATGAATTTAATTGGTTTAACTATAATGACTGTAAATGTAGGTATATAACTATAATGACTGTATATGTTTGTTTTATGGATGGCGCAACAACTGTTAAATACTATGTTATAAGTATACCAATTTATCGAAAGATAAGTCGTCGATGATGTGAAATGAAAATGAAATGTTTATGGTTTGCAACTATATAGGATGGATCTGTTAGTCATCAAAGTCATCAAATTTTAATAAATTGTTTTAATTTCAAACATTATAATTGTGTTTCAATTATCAATTACCTTGATGCTATAAAAGTTATGTTTGTATTGAGAGTGAATTAAAGTTCATTATTAGAAGGCACTTAAGAATCAACTAAAAGGTTGGTTATTTGTCTTTATGATAAATGAACGTGAATGTTGTTATTGATGATAGATTATTAATTTTATTTAGATATTCAAAGATGATAAATATTCCAAGTTAGGGTATGTATCACCTATGTTGCACTGACACGGGACACGACACGACACGTTAATTCCAAAAAATATCATATTTCGACATATTAGGATACGTTTTGATATTAGATAATATTTTTAATATATATAATATAGTTTATATTTAATATTATAATAAGTCATATAACTAATCAAATATTCAAATTTCATAACATAAATCTGAAAAGACAAATTTTGATTCCTTAAAAAAGGGGGGGAAACTGATGGAACTTTGGGTGGGGCAATTAAAATTGTTTTGCACCGAATTGCAATTTGGCATCACCGCACAAAAAAGTACATATGACTATGGTCACGTGCAAATATATTATCCAATTTGCAAGAAAGACCCACACACACATGTTGTCATCATTACCTTGTCATCCAAAGGTTTCAGATTGTTCCAGAACCCCAAAATCCATTTCATCTCTTCAATCTCTTTGCTAGGTAAACCCTATTTTTTCTTCCGCTAGATTTATGTTCCATTTGCTTCATCTAATGGTAGATCTGTGGGTTCGCGATGTTATATTCATGTAACTTTATCTAGAATTCTTCTATTTGTGGTTGGTTGTGCTTGTTCGTTGTTTTCACATTTTTAGTGTTTTTCTCGCATTATATAATTGGTTCGTGTGTTTCATTCAGCTTATTGTGTTGAATACATATACTCTCTAATGCTTCATTTCTACTTCCTCTGCACAGCTTATGCTCTTGTCTCCTCCATTGCTTAGTTCTTTTTTTTTAATTTTATATATTTTTTAAAATTATTTTAAGTTTATAAAAAATTTGGAAATTTTACATTTATACCCTTTGACCGTGTCGGGCACGATCAAAATCGCGTGTTGAGATAGTCAACGTGTCCCAAAATATTGACTGTGTGCCCGTGCTCCATAGTGTATCATTGCCAAAATATGTGATATCTTTATTAGCAATAATGATGGGATGTTGTGTATTAATAGGTCATAAAGGTGAACATTAATATGTTCTGTATGAAATATGTCTGAATCTGTGAAGCATGCTGGTATGTGAAATGTATGACTAAAAACATTAATGTTTCTAATTTATTATTCCTTGGAGTACCTATTGCTACACATTCAATGTTCTCAATTATTGTAGTTTTTAATGGACTAAACTTTTTCGAATGGAGTGAGTAAATCCAATTTTACCTTGGGGTAATGAATATGAATTTGGCTCTTAAAGAAGAAAAACCCAATGCTATTATTGTTGCAAACACTGAGGAGGAAATGGTCCATTTTAAAAACTATGAAAGATCTTCAGGTCTAATATGATATTCATGTGAATGAGCATTGTTGACAACATTAAGTCAACTCTTCCATAAATTGAAAGTGCGAGAGAAATTATGAAACTTGTGGAAGAGCGCTCCCAAACTATTTACAAGTCTCTTGTTAAGACACTTATGAGTACGTTGACCACAATGAAATTTGATGGTTCATGTACTACACATAGGCATGCTATTGAAATGACAAACATTGCAACAAGACTTAAAATATTAGGAATGGATGTGCAAGAGAATTTTCTGGTGCAGTTCATCCTGAACTCATTACCGGCTGAGTATGGTCCATTCCAAATGAACTATAACACCATGATATATAAATTCAATGTGTATAAACTGCACAATATGCTAGTTCAGGGGGAAACCAAACTAAAGAACCAGGGAACTAATTCCATCAATTATGTCAAACATTAAGGAGCTGAAGAGAAAAGTAGTAACAAATATGAGAAGAAGGAAATATGACCCCTAAAGTTCAATGTGGCCTCCTCCTCTAAAATTCGCAAGAAGGGACATTATGGAAACAAATGTAATTTATGTATGAAGGAAGGACACTTCTAAAGGGATTGCTTGAAGTGTAAGGCTTGGCTTGAAAAGAAAGGTAAGTCTAGTGCTTATGTATGTTATGAATCAAACCTAGCTGAAGTTCCTTATATTACTTGGTGGATTGATTATAGATGTATAACTAATCTTTCTAATATGATGTAAATATTCATTTCAACCTAAACCATAACACCAAATGAAAAATTTGCCTTTATGGGCAATAGAGTGAAGGTTTCGGTGGAAGCTGTTGGGACTTACCGTTTAATTATTGGCCATGGACATCATTTGAACTTATCTGAAACTCTTTATTGACCTAGTATATCTAGGAATTCAATTTTAATTTCCAAACTTGATAAAGCTAGATACTCTTTTAAATTTGGTAGTGGTTGTTTTAGTTAGTACGAGCACAATCATTTGATTAGTAATGATACTTTATATGATGGATTATATAAATTGTGTCTTGATAATCTATACGTTGAAACACTTATGACCCTGCATCATAATGTTGGCAGTAAACATGCTTTAATGAATGAATGTTATGATTACTTGTGGTATAAACGTTTGGAAAATATTTTTCAAAGAAAGAATAGAAAGATTGGTAAATAATGAATTCCTTCCCAAATTAGATTTTACTGATATGAATGTTTGTATAGATTGTATCAAAGGTAAACAAACAAAACACACAAAGAAAAGAGTCACAAGAAGCACTCAACTTCTTGAAATAATAAACAATGATGTTTGTGGTCCTTTGGATGTTAATACTTTCAATAAAGAAAGATACTTTATTACTTTCATTGATGATTTTTCACGATAATTTGCTGCATGATAAATCTCAAGTTGTAAATGTTTAGAGATTTGCATTGATGAAGTTGAAATGTAATTAGATATAAAAATAAAAATTGTCAAGTCTGATAGGGGCAATGAGTATTACGGAAGGTATGATGAAAATAAACAACATCCATGAACATTTGTTAATCCTTGAAAAACGTGATATTTGTGCTTATTACACAATGCCAAGTACACCACAACAAAATGATGTATTGGAAAGGAATAACATGACCTTGTTAGATTTGATTATGAGTGTGTTAAGTAATTCCTTTTTACCCATTTTGTTGTGGACTTTTGCTCTAAAGACTGTCATGTATTTGTTGAATATGATTCCTAAGGTTCATAGTAACTCTCGAAAACTTTATTAATATATGTTTTATGAGACAAGCCGAACAATCCTTGTGATTTATCACATAATATTTCTATCACAATCACATAAGTTGTCTCACCCATATCTTTTGTTTAAAAGTTACTAGAGAGAAATTTTCTGGTCTTATTTAAAAGACCAAGATCATTAGTTACAAGTAAGATATCATCATCATACAAAATCAATAATATAAACTTGCTCTCACTGACCTTCAAATCAAACTGCCTTATTAGAAACCCTATTCTATAAATACAAGATAGTCTTTATAGCATAAGTCCACAACAAAATGGGTAAAGAATAATTACACAACATTATTCTAACCCTATATAAAAATGTCCTATTACGCCTCTGTGACACACCATTCTATTGTGGAGTACCTGACTTTGTGTATTGAACACAAATGCGCTTTGCAAGGAATTTTAGCAAATTACCCTAGATGTTGTCCACTTTCATCATACCTTCCATAATACTCAACACCCTTATCAGACTTGTAATTTTCACATTTATGTCTAATTGACTTTCAACTTCATCAATGTAAATCTCCAAATCATTTACAATTTGAGATTTATCATGTGGCAAATACCGTGAAAAATCATTAAAAGACCATAAACATGAGTGCGTATAATTTCAAGAAGCTGAGTGCTTCTCATGGCTCTTTTCTTGGGTGTTTTGTTTGCTTTTAATACAATCTACGTAAACATTTAGATCAAACAAATCTAAATCTGGAATGATTTCATTTTTTACCAATTTTTTCATTCTTTCTTTGGAAATATGTCCTGCATGTTTATGCCACAAGTAAGCAGAACATTCATTCATCAAAACAAGTTTATATCCAACATTATGATGCAGGGTGTTAAGTATTTTAACATTAAATTATCAAGACATAATTTATATAATCGATCACATTAGATACCATTACCAATCATATGATTGTGCTTGTACAAACTAAAACAACCACTACCAAATTTAAAAGAGTATTTAGCTTTATCGAGTTTGGAAATTGAAACTAAATTCCTCAATATACTAGGTGCATAAAGAGTTTCACATAAGTTCAAATGATGTCCAATATCAAGAACTAAATGGAACATCCCATCAGCTTCCACTAGAACCTTCACTCTATTGTCCATAAAAGTAATACTTTCTTTTGGCCTTATGGTTTTGGTTGAAAGAATCCCTGCATCGTATTAGAAGCATAAGTTGTACATCCAGAATCAATCTACCAAGTATTATAAGGAACTTCAGCTAGGTTTGATTCATAACATAAATAAGCATTTGACTTACCTTTCTTTTCGAACCAAGCCTTATGTTTGAGACAATCCCTTTGGAAGTATCCTTCCTTCATACAGAAATTGCATTTGTTTCCATAATGTCCCCTCTTGTGGATTTTAGAAGAAGAGGCTTCATTCAACTTTAGGGGTCATCTTCCCTTATTCTCATGTTTCTTATAATTTTTTCATCTCAGCTCCTTGAGGCTGGAAATAATTGATGGAATGAGTTCCCTAGTTCTTGAGTATTGTTTTCTCTTGAACTAGCATATTGTGCATTTTATGCATGTTTCAATTATCTTTCATGGTGTTATAATTCATTTGGAAAGAACCATATTCAGTCGGTAATAAGTCCAGTATGAAATGCACCAGAAAAATCTCATGCATATCCATTCCTTACGTCTTACTGCAATGTTTGTTATTTCAACAACATGTTTATACATAGTATGTGAACTATCAAATTTCATGGTGGTTAGAGTACCAGTAAGTGTCGTAGCAAGAGACACATTAGCAGTTTGGGAACGTTCTTCCTAAAGTTTCATCACTTGGTTAGCACTTTCAGTTTGTGGAAGAGCTGACTCAATGTTACCAATAATGCTCATTCGCATGTACGTTAGACTCAACCTAATGAATCTTTCCCAATTTTAAAATGGACCATTTCCTCCTTAGTGCTTGCAGCAGTAATTGCACTGAGTTTTTCTTCTCTAAGAGCCAAATCCATATCCGAGATATTTATTAATAGGTATTGGGAATTAATGACAGACATTTCTACTAGTAATAGTTCGGCATTCCCTATTCGACATTTCTACTAGTAATTAGTCATACTTAAATTCATGGGGGTTGAGTTTCTCCGGTTGTAGGAGAACTCACCCCCTTCCAACAGACACATTATAATATCATGTTATGTTTTATATTTTTATACTTTACATAAAGTGGATTCCACATCAAAAATTTAACTGCAGCAGGAGATGTGAGCTTTTCTATCACAGGAAAACTATAATATCTTGTTATCAAAAAAAAAAAAAAACTATAATATCATAAATTTATTTATAAAAAAAATTGAAAAGTTAATACAATAATATTAAGGAAGAGGTTATAATTACTATCACTTTTTCTTACTACTTGTTTGCTACCAAATCTTAACCGTTAATTTCCGTCAATCTAACGGTTATAATTTATTAGAATTAATAATTAATTAATAAATATGACTCAATAAATTATAACCGTTAGATTGATGAAAATCAACGATTAAAATTTAGTAATAACAAGTAGTAAGAAAAAAAGTAATAATTATAACGTTTTTCTACTATTAAATATTATTATATTTTGAATCGGTGCACTGGTGATGTCTCCATCAGGTCACTATACATGACATTGTCAATTTGACGAAGTCCAATGTAGACGCAGGCCTCTGGTCAGAGTGAGGATGGTAATTTCCGTTGAACCGTCTATCACTTCGTTAACTTGGGTTCCGCGGATCAAGCTGCAATCCAATCCTTCACATTTGCTCTTATCTACTCACGTTATTGATTAATAAACGGGGGCAAAAACGACCTTGTCTGTATGCGTTGTGTGGATGGATCGATCAATGAGAGTGGTATTTTAGATCCAACGGTGTGCACTTCTTTGACTTAGAGCGGGACGCATCATATAATAACCATATATACAAGGCTATATGACTTTGCATCGCCACCACGTGTCAAGGCCCACGTATTTTTTCGCAAATGGAAGATGGATGCAGAAGGAAACCGGTTTTTTTTTTTTTTTTTTTTCTTTTAATTTACTGATTGCCATTTACGGTACGGAAAAAATCTGGTGGGCCAGCTGGTGTAGTAGTACCCATGGCTTTTTTACTTTTAAATTTAAAATAATAACTAACCTTCTCTCTCTCTATCTATAGTTTTTTTTCTTTCTTTCTTTTTTTCCTTTTTTTTTTGTGGAAATATTCTTTCTTTTTTTCCTTTTGATAATAATTTTCATCTTCAAACAACAATGACATAAATATTATATAATGACATATGTAAACATATGAATGTGTTGGCGAAGAGTTACAAGCAATTGAATTAAGTCTATAACCCTTCAATCTGCAAATTTTTCTATCAAATTTGGTTCCAACTGCAGTAGGTAAGTTTCTCCCTTTTTTTCTTTTTCCATTCTTATGTTTTTTCCCCTTTCTTTCTTTTTCTCAAAGTTAATTTTCTTTTTTGTGCTGCATGGACTGTTTTGCTTGTCATATTCAACAAAAGGAAAAAAAGTGAAAAGTAGCCGAATAAACGTACTTTTTTAAATGTTTTTTTTTTTTTTTTTTTTTTTTATGGTTCTTTTCCGATTGAAACCTAGTGTTTCTTACTCACAATCATTGAGATATGTTAGTTTATTCAACCGCATATCAAACACTGCAAGTAGGTTGTACTTAAAAAGGTTATAGTGCTATTCTGCATAGTTATCAGAACCTTCGAAATTTGAGTCATAAATGTGAGCAGAATGAGAATATGTACTCCTTAATTTTGTATTTCTACTTGAATTTTCAAGGGGGTAAAGTTTTACCTATTTCACTTAAAAGTAAGCTTTAGAGTTGAGTTGATCTTATGAATTTATGGAATTAAGAAACTTAATGTACAGGTCTGCAACTTGCTATCCTCAAATAGATTTCCATTTTCCAACACATTGCTGTTCTGATTATTGTTTCTAACAGGGATGGGTTTGGATGAGAATGAAGCAGAGGTGTGCAACGGAAAGGACGATGCTTGTCAAATGTGGACCTTATGCACTCATGCTTATTATGATTTAGCACATGTCTCTCCGGTGGTATTTCTATTCCTTTTGAAAGAATGTTATTTTTATGGTATGATTTCTTCTCCTTGCAATGCTAATATTTGTTGTTTACAATGAGATATGACGATGAATGCTAACTGTTTGCTGAAATGGTTTAGCTAGCTTTTTCTGATAATGTATTTTTCTTTAAGTTATTGTCATTCACTCAAACGGACAGACATCAGTGTTTGTTTTCTGGAAACTTATAGCTCACGTTTCTCTGTTTTCATTGTGAACATGTTGAACCTCTGACACCTAATACTGGTTCTGGAGGCATCCAAATGGTTGTTTGATTGTGGCTATCTACAACCCCCCCCCCCCCCCCCCCCCCCCCCCCGCCCTTTCCGGAAGTCTTTCTTTTGGTTGAACATTTCAATGTTCAGATATGTGATACCCTATTCTTTTGGGTTACATATGTGGTATCCTCTTTAAAATGTTATTGCTCATCTGTCACAATTTCTTTGGAGAGAAAGTTATTTTAGAATCAATCATCACTTTTCATGGTCTAAAAACTTGCTGAAAGTGATATTAACCTGTGCACTAGAACTGGAAGATGATTATTTGAAAAGTCTGTGACTGACAATTCTTTAGAATTTAACTTTTAATCACCTCTGGCCTCTGATAAAGGAGTCCTTGGTAAAATTAGTAAGCTGTTTTTTTCCAAATAAGTCAGCAAACTTCTTTATATGCAATCAATAATAAGTTAGCAGTCTTCTTTGCTGCAATAGAAATTGAAGATTATTCATTAGACTTCCTCTGGTTCTGTCTCATCAATGCACATCTTCTTTCTTACTCTTTTTATTGTTGTTTCTCTTCAAATGACATTGCACAGGCACGTGTAAGGCGACAGCCAAATTCCGAGCCCTTCAACATCAAGTATTTCTTGTGCTCCATAATGATCCAAAACCTGGACCAGCAATTTTTGTTGTTCAGTGCCTGTACTTGTCTCCTTTATTTGAAAATCATAGTCAAGGTTTCACTCATTTGATGATATCTGCTCTTCGCCGCTTCCTAAAAAGATCAACCACTTCAGAAGACTCCTTGGAAGTGAAAGACTCAGCTGCCCATTTACTCATTGATATTATTAGGGGCAAGATCTGTCATGATGAAAAGATAGTCATGAAAGTACTGGAGATTGTTGATGTAAAGCTAACAAATATTGAGAACGCAATGTGCCAAATTAAGAAAAAGCACGATTTAAGTTGTGGCACAGCAATAGAATTTGTGGAGCAGTATATTTTTCAATTGGTAGAATCCCAGTTGTACATGCAAGCTGTCACTTTAATAGAGCATTTTTCTATCCGACATTATGGCCAGTCTCTTCTCCTTGATATGATACAGAAAAATCAATTCAATGCTGCAGAGAAGTGGGCAACATTTATGGGTAGGCCAATGTTGTTCATTCTTGTTGAGGAGTTCATTGAGAGGAACATGCTAAAGAATGCCTATGAGACTATACAGAAAAATAATCTAAAGCAGGATTTTCCAGAAGTATACAAGCGGTGTAAAGAAAGGTAATTGACTTGTACTTGTTAACATGGGGCGGATTTTCTTTCATTTTCTCCTGGCGCTGTTTGATTTTCTCAAAGCATCTTAAATCCATCTCCACCTCCCCTTTACCTTTTAATAAATTCTTATTTACAAGATTACCTTATTGATTTGCAGCTCACTAAAGTACTTAGCAGAAAAAGGATGTTGGGATGTTGCTGAGGCAAGGACAAACAATGATAGACAGCTCATGGAATATTTGGTCAGTGGTTATTTTCATCTTTTGCATATTAATTGCCGTTCAGTATGTGCATACTCTGCTCATGGGTGTATACCACTGGAGACTCAAAAATAGCAAAGCTTTGCTTTTTGTACTATTTCCTCTGCAATCTCCTTGTACTGAATAGTATTACCATCTTTTTAACGCTCATGTGATCTTGAATTTTGATTTTTTGCTATGTTGATTTTTCTGTTTACAAATGACACTTGGACAACCTTTTTCTTATTCCCCTTTAGTTGCATGGTGTTTTCAGCAGTCCTTGTTGGACAACCGTCATGTGTATCTTCATTAGCCAAAATTTCATTTGTATGAATTTTGTAGCTTTTGATTTGTCTATTTATTCTATATCAAAACCAGAACAAACATTTTGTCCTTGTGTCACTACTTACTATTTTCTTCATAATCAGTGGGTAATTTGGGCCGTGTCAGTTTCCAGTGATGCAAAGTATGTATTAAGATTAAGTATGTTTCCTAAAATAAATATTGGATGCTCTATGCATTCTTTAAAATTGTTTTTTCAATGATAAGATTACTTCTCAGTAAATTTTGAGAGTTGCTAAACCACTGCTAGCCTGTTAATAATTGAACCCTTTGCTTAAAATCAAGCGATATCAGGTGGTACATATTTATTTGGTTGTTATAAACTAATGGGGGGTTTAGGTTACAAGGTTCCGGGTAGTCTACCAGGATATATGGTTGATTTTTTACCGGCTCTCTAACTTTACATGTATTTCAGTTTCATAGGCCCCGTAAGGCATAATTTTAGCTTGGTTATTAGGTACCATCTGACACGGCTGCTATTAGAATTGCTTAGAGTGGATATACTTACTAAAGGAAAGCTGTGAAAATCTTCAAATTGAAGACACATTGGTGTGTTACATACCCGAACACAAGTCACAGTAAAAGGAACTGAATTATGAGAAAATTGTATTTAACTCTGAGAATGGAATAATTCATAGGCATGTTTATGAAGCAATTACAAAATTTGCTGAAACAGAAAGTAAACACAGCAGGCTTTCGAGAGGCATGTCTCTCCTCTATCTACTATTTCTCTTACTACATTCCTATCTACTAAAGCCTCTACTTCCTGCTTTTGTACTCATTCCCCTTCCAATTTGTTGTAACCCTATTTCCCTCCAAATAGGGTTCACATGCCCCCTGCTCATGTGGGTTTGGATCCCATACATCCCCTGCTAGAGTAAACTCTAGATATGGGTTTTAGGGTGTCTAACATGGTGCTCTCTCTTCTTGAGCCCATTCTGCCAGTTTGAGTGGAATTGAACAGTGTGAAGTGTCTAGGAAGTATTATTAATGTATCAGATGCTCAATCCGATATTTTGACGGTTTCACTTTAAAATGGCTACGGAGCATAGGTTTTTGGAGATGTAACAAGGGTTATCATTCTTTTATTTTTTATTTTTTTTTAAAAAAAGGCTCGTGTTGATTTTCTAAAGTAATTAATGTTGACAGTTTCTTAGCCCTTATAGCCCCAGTAAAATCTTAAAATTTGTGTGCTATAATCTTTTAATTTTATATTTTCAAGGTTTATTTGGCAATGGAAGCTGGTTACGCGGAGAAAGTTAATGAACTTTGTGATCGGTACTCCATTGACAGGTTTCCGGATGTCAAAGGTAAGCCAGTTTGTTGTGATAAATTAAAATTAAAAAAAAAAAGATTGTATTCTAATTAACATTAAGATTTTATACTCACTAGGATTGTTGGGTTCTTATTCTTCTTTTGCCTCTAATAGTTCTGTTGTTTCCATGTCATTTTCCATTTTGTTCCTGTATTTTGAAGGGATTACTCCTTTTTATTCCTGCATTTGTTATCAGCTTGCCTGCATTGATGTTATTACCATTTTGTTTTATCTACTTAATTTTTATGTAGAGTGTATATTATCTGCAATTTTATTCTCGGATGATAAACATAATAATGCTTTTATGTCCTGTAGTACCTGAAACAAGTATTCAGCAAGGGCGTTATTTAAATCTGAATGAACTATTGGTTGAAGACATCATTTGGGTTGATGAAGTTGAAGGTTTGCTTGATGCAACAAGTCATATTGAGGATTTTAAAGTTGTAGGTGTTGATTGTGAATGGAAACCTAATTATGAAAAAGGCAGCAAGCCAAACAAGGTAAATTAAAACGATCATCCTGATATATTAATATTTTCCCATACATTTTTCTCTGTTTATTTGAATTTTATGAAATTAATTTTGTCTGGGTTATCCTTCCGAGCTATGAGATATTTCTAATCAGAAGCTGAATTCTTGATTCTCGTGTTTTTCCTTTTCTCCTTGAATTTCCATGTTTCAGGTATCTATCATGCAAATTGCTTCTGAAAAGATGGCTTTTATCTTTGACCTGATAAAATTACACAGGGAGGCGCCTGACGTTTTAGATAACTGTCTAACTCGCATTTTGCTGTCGCCTAGAATTCTAAAACTCGGTATGAAAATTTTAAGTTCGTTAGTCTCGTGAATTTATGGGCTAAAATACTTCTGTGATCAAGACTGATCCCTATCTTTTGTGCTATGATTTTTTTAACTTGAATGAGAATGCTACGATTGACGGGACTTGATAAGTAGTATCTTTATACTCATCATTATAAGCGAACATGTAGACAGATGAAGCATTTGGTGTTGTTTAGTAAGTCCGAACTAGTAACCTTTCCTGCTTAATGCCTTGTACTTTCAGGGTACAATTTCCAATGTGATATGAAGCAACTTGCTCGCTCTTACGAAGAATTGAAATGTTTCAAGAACTATGAAATGTTGCTGGACATCCAGAATATTTTTAAAGAAGCTCGGGGTGGTTTGGCTGGGCTTGCAGAGGTACCGTATATATGAATGTCCTTTTAGTGTCTCATGTCTCTTTTTTAGTACATCTGATATTTTTGGAGAAATAATGATCAAAGGCCATGGTTGAAAGCTGATCTTGACAAAACTCGTGTGTTTATTGGAAAATCAGAAAGTACTGGGAGCCAGTTTAAACAAGACAAGACGAAACAGCAACTGGGAACAACGACCTTTAACTCCAAACCAAGTAATTTCTCCTCTTTCTTCTTTGTTATTCATTAATTCCCTCCATCTTCATTAAACTTATCTGATAATGCAATTTGAACAATTGCTTCAGGACCTTCAGGTTTTTTTTTTCTGTATTATTCCTAGTTTGCTACGTCTTGGAATCAATACTCTTTGTTTAATTTATTTATTTATTTCTGGAGGGGGGACGGGGGAGAGTAAATACAATCAAAGAGAGAGTTTTACTTTTCGGATAGTGGATTGAATGGTTCCAAATTTTGCTGTTATATGATTTCTAAAGAAACTTGTGTGGAATATAAGACACGAACGATAATGTTGAATGCAATATAATCCATTTGAAACTAAGCCATTCAACAATCTAAAGCGGTTCTATTTGTGCAGCTAGAATATGCTGCGCTGGATGCTGTTGTACTTGTTCACATATTCCACCATCTTCCTGTTCAAGGACATGATAAGTTTGAGTGGAAGTCTTGCATCGTAAGTGACAAGAATCTTTTTCTGCTTGGCATATAGCCTATAGGCAGCCAGCAAACCACCTTACCTTTATTGCAAATTCTCTTTTTCTATTATTCTGGTATTTACGTCCTGTTTTAAATAGTTTCATTATTTTGGCCTGGTCATAACATCAAAACCTAAGTAAACATTTACCGTGCACAAGAATATCCTCCTTGCATGCTTATATACTTAATGTTTTTCACTGTTTTTAACTGCCATCCAGGTGTCCCACCCGGAAAAAACCAAGAAATCCAAGAAATATGTTCCAAAAGTTGAAGAGACTGAGATTGGGACCAACAAGCATTGATCCTGAACTGAGATCTAATTTGTTTTAATTGATTAAAGTGCAAAATGGAAAATTTTAATTTGTAAAGTTGACAATTTTATGAAATGTAAGTATTTACGTGTCCATTAATTTCATCGAATATTGTTTTTTTTTAAAATAAAAAATAAAAAACAAAAAACTGACAGTTTAAAATGTATCAATTTGGACAGGCTATATTTACTTGCTGCTATTACGGTTAGATAGGTTGAAATCCAAAATTAACATAATAAAACATACTTGAGGATGAAAAGCTTGGCATTCACCTCTGACCTCTCCTTCCTTCTTTACCATAAATAAAATTTGGGATAAAACACAATTCCTAGCATTTGAAGACACTTAAATAATTTCAACCCTCTCCTACTTTCCCTCTGCCTAACCAAAATAAAGATTCATAAATGTAAAATGCAGATAGAGGGGTAGAAAGAGAGGTAATTAAAAACATAAGAGTTTTGGGGTTTGAGATTTGATAAGGTGATCATCATCATATCAAATCAAAGAGATGGAAGAGGTCCAACACCGTCAGCCTCAATCATTCTACGGAACGGTAGGAGTGAAAAACCTACATGATGTGAATGTGAGAACCATAAATGACAACTAAAGGAGGACCTCTCCTTTTTGTTCTTATTATGAGGCATCTCCAAGGAGAGAGCGTAAAGGTTGTGTGAGCAAGTCACCTCCCCGCACGTCATGGTGGAACGACCGTGAGTTGAAGAGAAAGCAGAGAGTGACCAAATACAAGCTTTACGCAGCCGAAGGTAAGGTCAAGTCTTCTCTGAAGAAAGGATTTCGTAGTTTCAAGATCACATGCAAGAAGATCGTTAACAATCTTTAGCTAATTAATGCATGGGATGGTGTCGTCTTTATCTAACATGTATATAGTTTAGAGATATGATGCAGCCATCCTCTGGTTTCAATCCCATACAAACTATTATTTTGCTCTCGTTGAAATCAGATTCTTGGATTAGTTCCTTTTTGTAACTCCTCTTTTTTTTTTCCCCTATCAATGATGACGTCTTACCTCATATGAACTTCTTGTTTTGATAGCGAAATGGTTTCTAATATCAACCGGAATCGTTTCTTGCTGTCATCGGTGGTCTAGAACATTGAGATTCAAGACATAATTAAGAAGTAAACAAACTGATATTCCTTGGCACGAAATCCTAATGTAACATGTTTTATAAGCCAAGATAAAAAAAAAAAAAAAAAACAGAATAGCATTCTAATGTAACATGTTTGTATTGTACTGGATGTCTCGAGCTAGAGCAGCATGACATAATGATGAAAGCGAGGGATTCCTCTCTCTAATCAGATTCGGACAAGAGTGTGCAATTCCTCACTCCCATGCGATCATTCTAACCCATTTAAGTAGGGTTGTGCGGGTCAGGTTTTTGTCCGACTCGATCCAACTTGATTTTTATAGATCAGGTATTTTGACCCGACCCGCTTTAATTTGATCCAAGTCAGGTTTGACTTGGATTGGATTTTGTTGAACTAGTTCAGAACCAGTTTGGATCTGACCTGACTTGGTTTCTAAAGTGGGTCTGACTTGGTTTCTGAACTGGGTCAAATCTGACCTGACCCGTTTTTTACTTGGTTTTCTCACAAAATTTTGTCGAAATTTTTACGTTGCAAAAGACGAAAATTTCGTCACAAAATTATTTTTTCGTCGACATTTTTACAAAAAAAAAAAATTTCTATTGAAATTTAGTTTCCGTTAACAGTTTTGACGAAAATGATTTCTTCCATCAAATGTTTTAAATGAAAAAAGAATTTTGTCAAAAAATTTGACGGAATGTTTTTCGTTCAAAATTTCGATGGGAATGTGTTCTGACAAAAATTTTGACGGAAATTATTTCGAGGGAAATATTTCATTTGAAACTTTCGACGAAATTTAGATTCTCTAAGGAATTTTGACAGAATATTTTTTTCGTCAAAATATTTTTTTTGTCAAAAAAATTTACGGAATTTTTTTATAGAAATGTGTTTCGTTGAAAATTTTGATGGATATTTTTTATCAAAAAACTTGACGAAATATTTAGTTGAAATTTTTTGATGGAAATGTGTTTCGCTAAAAATTTTGACGAAAATTTTTTTTGGTCAAAAAATTTAACGAAAATTTTTTCGTCGAAAACTTTCGCCGAAATTTGAAATCTGTAAAGATCTTTGATGAATTTTTTTGTTGACGAAAATGTTTCCGTCGAAAACTTTTGCCAAAATTTGAAATCTGTAAAGAATTTTGATGAAATTTTTTGCCGTCAAAATTTTTTGATGACGAAAATATTTTCGTCGAATTTTTATTGCCAAAATTTGAAATCTGTAAAGAATTTTGATGAAATTTTTTGTTGTCGATATTTTTTGTCGTCAAAGTTTTTTGATGACGAAAATATTTCCGTCGAAAACTTTCGCCAAAATTTGAAATCTGTAAAGAATTTTGATGAAATTTTTTGCCGTCAAAATTTTTTGATGACGAAAATATTTCCGTCGAAAACTTTCGCCGAAATTTGAAATCTATAAAGAATTTTAATGACATTTTTTGCCATCGAAATTTTTTGATGGGAATGTGTTTCGTCGAAATTTTCAATGGAAATTGTTTTGAGGAAAATGTTTCATTTGAAACTTTCGACGAAATTTAGATTCTCTAAAGAATTTAGATTCTCTAAAGAATTTAGACAAAATATTTTTTCTGTCAAAATTTCTTATCGAAATATTTTTGTCAAAAAATTTTACGAATTTTTTTTTACAGAAATGTGTTCCGTTGAAAATTTTGATGGATATATTCTTTATCAAAAAACTTGACGAAAATATTTAGTCGAAATTCTTTGATAGAAATGTGTTTCGCTAAAAATTTCGACGAAATTTTTTTTTGTCAAAAAGTTTAACGAAAATGTTTTCGTCGAAAACTTTCGTCGAAATTTGAAATCTGTAAAGAATTTTGATGAAATTTTTTTTCGTCAAAGAATTTCGATGAAAATGTGTTTCGTCGAAAGTTTTTATGAATATATTATTTTGTGAAATATTTTGACGAAATTTAGATTCCGTAAAAAAATTTGACAAAAAAAATATTCCGTCAAATTTTTTTATCGATATGTTTTTAGTCACAAATTTTGATGAAAATATTTTTCATCAAAAATATTTGCGAATTTTTTTTTGAAAATATTTTCGATAAAAAATTTTGACGTAATTGTTTTACGTTAAAACTTTTCTTTTAATGTAATTGTGATTTTTTTTTCACATAATGGGTATGGGTCAAGTTTTGGGTCAGTGGGCCAATATTAAAACGAGTCAGGTCTAAAACTGACCCAAATAAAAGTGGGTCAGTATTTAAACCAGTGCAAAAAATATGGGAATTTATGGGTCGGATCAAGGGCAGGGCAAGTGAACCAGTTTTTTTGCACACCCTTACAATTAAGCACCCGGCCCAACCTAAAATCCCCTATGTGGTCGTGTTACTTAATTTAATCCCATGTAATTTGCACCCCCAACAACAAATATCACGTCTGACCAGACTACTTTGTCTTAAATTTGATTAACATCCCACATTTTCAATTTTCAACTTTTAATTGAATGATTTTGAATAGATTTCAAGAAGATTTTGTTTAAAGCTCGAGCTTCCCTGTTCTTAAGTTCTTCTATATTTTTTTCTTTTTCTTTTTGTGTATGTCAAATTAGTTCTTTTCTCTTATATTTTCTTATTTAACTCATTCTTTCCCATAACTTTATTATTCACACTTAAACTTTCAAGTTTCAACAATTTTTTACTTAAGTGAGTCTTGGTTACAATTGTCAAATACCTTGCGAGACCCAAATACAATTTACCGTATTCAAATACCTAGCCCAACCAATTACGGGACAATAACCAAAATATCACACTATTCACAAAAAATTACCTGAATGTCATGGATCAGAATTTTTTTTTTTCAAAATGTCACATCATCTAACTCGCTACAACACCTGACAAATTAGGTGTGGACACGTAGCAGTAGGTTTATAGCCACGTAAGCCGTTGCACATTGCAAGAAGATTACATGACAAATATCGTGTCAAACTCGCTATGCTGCATAACATGTTACGTGTCAGTCTTTCTGACACATGGCCATACATGTTGTACCGCATAACATATTATGTGTAAGTAGCTCAGCAGTCCAGTGTTTTTAGTCTAATAAATTCACCACTTCCCTTCCCATTTCTTGCATCATTGTGGTCTAATAAATTATAGGATAATTTTAATTTTAAATAACATATGTTCAAATAATTTAATTTAGGACTGTTAATTAATTTAATTTAATGTAGGAGTGTTAATTAATTTAATTTAATTTAGTTTATGTTAAGTTAAATTATTTTTAACTGTTAAGTAGTTTAATTTAATTCAGGAGTGTTAATGAATTAAATTTATGTTTATTAATTAATTTAGTTTAATTTTGTCTATATTAATTTAAATTATTTTAGAACTGTTAATTAATTATTTTTAGAGTGTTAATTTATTTTATTTTATGTTAAGTTAATTTTTTTGAACTATTAAGTAATTTAATTTAATTTAGGAGTGTTAATGAATTAAATTAAATTTATGTTTGTTAATTAATTTAGTTTATATTAATTTAAATTATTTTAGAAATATTAATTAATTATTTTTAGGAGTATTAATTAATTTCATTTAATTTAGTTTATGTTAACTTAAAATTATTTTGAACTGTTAAGTAATTTAATTTAATTTAGGAGTGTTAATGAATTAAATTAAATTTATGTTTGTTAATTTACTTTTATTAATTTAAATTATTTTAGAACTGTTAATTAATTATTTTTAGGAGGGTGAATTTATTAGACTAAAAAGGCTGGACTGCTGGACTTACACATAATATGCTATGCAGCACAACATGAATGGCTAAGAAAAGCTGACACATAACATGCTATGCAGCATAGCAAGATTGACACGTGTCAGACACATAACATGCTAAACTGGCACGTAACATGCTATGTAGCATAGCGAGTTTGACACTTGTCTACCATGTAATCTTGCTGCACTGTTCAGTGGCTTACGTGAGCATAAATCTGTTGCCACGTGTTCACACTAACTCGCAGGTGTTGTAGCGAGTTAGATGACGTGATATTTTGAAGAAAAAAAATTTTGGTCCGTGATATTCAGGTAATTTTTTGTGAATACTGTAACATTTTGATCTTTGTCCCACCATTTACACCTGACTTGGCACAAACTAATTAACTATTGGTTTAAAAAATAATCATTATTACGTGGCCGGAAAACCCAAAATATGATAGAGTTTTATCCACATATTATTAAGCCTAAACGTTGGAGTAAATGTTGCTAAATGTTCGAGTAAATTCCTAGCTGGACTTAGATGGGAAATAACAGATGGATCAGATTGAGGCTTTGGACTGATAACTGGTTGGGATGGGAGAAGAATTTGGTGGAGCTTTAGAATAACCATGTTCCGCGTGAAGAAAGTCAGAAAACAGTTGCGGATCACATGGTGGATGGTGATTTCAATCTTGAAGCTGTTCACCGATTCTTGGAGTCAGATATGGTTGATGTAGTAACAAATCACTTAAGGCTTATACCAAGGATTGACGAGGATAAGCTAGTTTGGATCAATAACCATAACTCAACATCTTTGGTTAAGGTTGCATACAATAATCTGATGAATTTTCCAGAAGCTTTTCACGCTAATTTATGGAAAAGATTATGGACGTGGAAAGGTCCAGAACAAGTGAAAGTGAACATGTGGATGGCTTTTCTTTCTAAACTTCCGGTGCGTAGCAGAACTAGTAAGTGGAGTGGAGGCTCTAACACTTGTCCTAGCTGTCCAAATCATGAAGAAACAATAATTCACGTTTTACGTGATTGTAGACATGTGAGGAAAATTTGGCAACTCTGGTTTAAAGGTACGATTCCAAATTCCTTTATGATTTTGAATTTGCAGGATTGGATGACATCCACTATAGAGAACCCGTGGACATCAAATGAAGTGAAAGGTTGGAGGGATATCTTTTTTACTACATGTTGGTACCTGTGGAAATGGAGAAACTTGGAGATTCAAGAAGATTAGTTCCGGCATGAAGAGCAAACTAAAGAGACGATTTGGATTTTTATTCAGCAAATGTTAACGTCCAGAAGTCATCATGGGCAATTAATTACCAAGGGTAGCTCCTCAGCAGGGATGAGTCAAGCTAAATTGTGATGTAGCATCTTCTAGCAGAATGAAAAAAAGCTAGCTGTGGTGGTATACTAAGAGATCACAATGGATCCTTCTTGGGGAAATTTTATTGTGATTTAGGTTATTGCAATCCTCTTGATGCAGAGTTCTGAGGATTATTGAAAGGTTTGGAATTGGTTTGGGGCACAGACTTAAAAAAGATAGAGTTAGAATGTGATTCTACTCAAGCCATTCAAATTTTGAAGGAGCAACATGAAGACCCTAGAGAATCCCGAGTCACTAGAAGGTTGAGATTATGGTTAAAAGCATATTGGACCATTCAACTAGTTCATATGAAAAGAGATAACAACAAGTGTGCACATTGGTTAGCCAAAGCTGGGCAGAATGAAAATCTCCATTTAAAGATCTTTAATGAACCCCCTCCTCAGTTGGTGGATCTTTTAGATACTGATGCTAGAAATATGTATAGCTTGATAGTTACTGAGTTGTAATTTTCTTTTGTTTTTGGGGCTTGGCCCCTCTTTATTTACAAAAAAAAGAGAGCCTAAAACGACAACCTAGTTAGTCCAACAACACATTTTAACTGAAAAATTAGTTAAAAAAAGCTATAATATTCAACCTATATTACCATCATTTGTTTTTTAAAAATATCAAGTGTTTTGTTTGCTCCCAACACAAACATTTTAATATTCGGTTTATAAATTGTGTGATGTTACTAATGTGCCTAAGTTGCACTTTGTATTTTTCTTTTCTTGGGTTTAATTGTGATAATCATCCATTAAAAAATAATAATCAAATCAGAGGATGAAAGACTTAGGGTGTATTGGATTAAGATTTTTAAAAACTTTTTTTGAGATAAAAAATCTTATAGATTTTGAGGGACTTTAAAGGCTTTTTTAAAAGTTTTTTTTTTTTTACAATTAAGATTTCATAAGATTAGATTTTAAAGAATTTTAATAGAATTTATTAGATTTGAAAGTACAATATGAATTTATAAGATTTTAAAAACCATATGATTTTTAACAAACATTCAAAAGTACAAGAGTCAATAAAAAAATAACAAAGGAAAACAATGAAATTAAAAAAAAAAAGTAAAACCAAATATAATTTTTAACAAACATTCAAAATTACTAAGCAACATCTCTCCACATATCTAAAGCTATAATAGTCCTCAACGCATTAGTATTTTCTCGTTCTTGCTATTGGGTTTGACCAATGGATTAAAAATTATCTTCTTCATTTGATATCAGAACTATGCATATATGATTATAAGACACAATTTTTTTAAGTATTAAAATAATTCTAAATTTGCATATAGAGCCTAAAGTTCATGATAAAATTTCGATTGGAATTTTTTGCAATTGATATTGAAAATCTTGGTATTTTTATTCTACGTGATGAGAGTTTTATAATCATATATCATATGCATGTTTTCATTGAATATTCTAAGAAAATTTCGAATCTGAATTTCTAGATTTTATTACATGAAAGTTTAGAAAAAATTTCAAATTTTTTTCAATCAATACATTGAAATCTTAAATTGCTTTAGGGCTTTTGAAAAACAAGTTTTTAGTTATCTATTGGCATAAAAATTGTTTGAAATCGTTTCCTATAGTGAAAAAATTTCGTTCATTAAAGTATTGTTACGAAATATATGATTCATATTATGAAAGTTTCAATCTTTCTTTAAATTGATATTGTTTCATTGATGTAAAATGAAAATTGGTTTGAAGGTTTTAGTTCCCCGGTTATTTTTCCACTGTTTTATGTTATTTTTAATACAAAAATTACACCTTCCATAGCTTGACAAGTCTTTTTTTAAACTTCCAAAATCTTTCAAAAATGGCAAAAAAATATGCTGTTTTTGAGATAGATTATATTAAAATTCCGTTGGTTTGTTGTTTTTGAGTTGTTTTGTGATGAAAATCGTTCAAAAATCTGTTATTTTTGAGTTTTGATGAAGCTCCCTTGATTTTGAGCGGGTCAACCTGCCAAATGAAGAAGAAAACACTGCAATAGAAAAATATCAAGAAATTCTAGGGGGTTAGGGCGATATTGTGAGGAATGCATCTTATTTACATCTCTCACCAAAAAGTCTCACGAAATCCAGACTAATAGAAAATTCATTAAAATCGTTAGATTTTTGAATACCACAATATTATTTTTTCATTGTTTAAAATCTTGATTGAATACCAACGGATTTGGACGGACTCTAAAATAATCTTTTAAAACCCTAACGAATACCACGTGATTTTTTTTCAATCATTTAAAATTCTAATTGAATACCAATGGATTTTTTTTGTCAAAAAATACTCCATTAAAATCCTTTGAAATCTCAATCCAATACATCCCCTTAGACCATATGTAGAGATGGCAAAGTGGGCGACTTGCTCCGTCCTGCCCCGCCATCAACTCGCCAAAAAACGAGTCAGTCCAGCGTGCCCCACTTTGAAAAGTTGTCTGGAAAACTCATCCCGCTCCGCCCCGTTAGGCGGGCGGGGCAGGTTGGCTCGCCAGCCCGAACTTATTTTACATTGACCCACTCTGGTTGGCTATCAATCCGCCAAAATACGATCCAACCCACCGAGCTCTGCTTTTGAGAATGAGCTGTAAAACTCAGTCCGCTGTGCCAAGCCCATTTTGCCGGCCCTATTTAGATGTGTTAAAATGAATTGAATTTAATGAATTATTCCAAACCACTCAACAAAATATAATGGTTGGACATACAAAATCAATACTTGAAAATATTTTACGCTCTACAACTTTATTGAATGTCAAGATCAATTATCAGAATTATTAAGTTTATCTAAATATTCTTTCTAAATAAACATTAATCTATTTTAAATAGTAATTAATTTGACTCCAGTAACTTGCTTAGATAAGTATAAGAGTATTTCATATATAAAAAAAGGAAAAATGTTTATCATTTTAAACGACACAACTTGTATCATTTTACTTTCATAAAGAGATGGGACCCACACCTTTATTTTTTTTGTCTATCCTCTCTCCTCCATGATCTATTTCTTTCTCTCATTTAAAATGACATAAATTTACATCATTTAAAATGACACACTCTTATCCCTATTTTTGTTGATTATAATGTTTCTCATTTTAAATGATACAACTTATATTATTTCATTTTCACAAGAGAGTGAAACCCACACTTTTATATTTTTTGTCCACTCTTTCTTCTTTTATTTATATTTCTTTTTTTCACCTAAGATAACACAATTTTACGTCCTTTGACGTGACTAGATGCACAATTTTCCCACAAAAATATGTTATAAACTTTGGGGAAGGATATTGTGACAACCAAGTTGTGTTACTACCAAGTGACTACTAATCAATCTCACTGTTAGCTCGATTATGTCGATCCAACGGTTATATTTATTTCAATCTTTGTATGGTCATAATTCCCCAAATTTAATACTTTATATTTATTTTCACCTTTGTATGGTTATGATTTCTCATATTTATTGTGATGATTTTCCATATTTAATGCTTTCACATTAAATATAGGGAATCATGATCATACAAAGATGAAAATAAATATAACCGTTGGATCAACATAATCGATCTAACAATAAGATTGATTGGTAGTCACTTGATAGTAACACAACTTGGTTGTCGCAATATTCCCCGTAAACTTTATCTAATTCTTACAAATAAAAAAGGCAGGCCATTGTGCTGCTTTATGAATTGAAAAGAGAAGATAGGGAGCGCGGGAATCGAAATGGGTAACAGTAGGAGGAAGAAGCATGATCTGGAGTTAGAGAAAGCTCGCTTAATCAGCTTAGCCCTTGATTTCGGCTTCGACCAACACTCCGCCAGCAATTGCTTCGATCGTCTTCTCGCTCTCTACGGTACCTACTACCATTTATTTATCAATTCAGAAGCAATGCTATTAAAGTATTAATTAATTAATTAATTAATTATTCTAGGTTAACTTTGTTTAGGTGATGATGGTCGTGATTTTATCACCGTCGAGCACTGCGGCGATGATTTTCTCGCGGTTTTGGCGGAGTCCATGCAAGCCACTGAGGAATGGGATGATTTGCAGGAAATGGAATCACAAGCTTGTGGAACTTTGTCTCACATGCTTGACAAAACTGTTGGCACGTGCGGTAATGCAGATGATGATTCTTCTAGATGCTTCATTAATATTATTGACGATTCGCCCGAATCTCAGAAGCACCACAGGAAAGTAGTGGAGTTGGATTCCAGTGATGATGAGTATGTGGACTTTAGTATTTCAAGGGAAAAATCTGTATTTCTTGGACAACATTCCCCAAAATATACGGTAACAAAGCAATTTGTTTTGACTATCATTAACTTTTTTATTTGCTCAAGTATTAAATTTTATTTGCCTCGCATTGCAGTTACTGTATTCAATTAGAAGCCTAAGCCTATGTTAATAACTTAATATTTATTTTGGAGTTGCATCGGCTTTCAGAAAATAAAGTAAAAATAATATATATTTTAATCGTTGACATATTGTTCAATAGAATTCTGAATACGCGATATTTAGATGTAAAACTACGTAACAGTGGATTAAACTATTCAAGTAGATACGAAAGGAAGACTGTTGTGGTCTTGTGGAGGAAATACATAAATGGGAAGAGGAAAGATAGTTAGCTTTCTAAAAGTATATCACAGTGATGTGTATATATAATGCTGAATATTTCAGATCTTTGTGAACGAGATTAGAGCTATATCTGTGCATTCGTAAGTGAGAAACATACACTTACATGGATGGAAAACTATTATGGATCTGCATATATATTCTAAGGGATTTGCATTCATCCTGTTACAGGATCGATGAACAGTTTATATATAGAGATATAATTATGATGGGGCCAATTTTTTTTAAAAAAAAAAAGAAAGAAAAATAAGAGGAAAGGGGGATTTTCGATGTATCAACAGGATATGTTTTCGTTGTCATGTTACATGACAATTGGATTTCCCATATTCTAATGCTTAAATGTCAGGCTTCTTCAAAACCATGCACAAAGATTAAACAAACTGGAATATATTGAAATTCAATAAAATAAACAAATTGGAAATATGTGTAACCAAAACTCAATATGGCACTGATAAAAATTGCAAGGAAAGTTACTCTGATAACTGGGGCCTTGAGCTGTTTCTTAAAACATTTAAATGGGATTTTCACCTGCCCTTCCTTCACGGATGATCAACTAAAATTATTTCATGGTTCTATATTTGGTTATCTTTTGTATGGCTAGAATAATAGATAAACAGTTCCCATGACTCTTCTTATTTATATTGTATTAGCTAGATTTTGTGGTATTACACGACAAAGATGCTGATGGGAGGTTATACTAAAATAGTTAATGTATTTTATAGGATTGCAGAAGTGGCATCACTCAAGGCTCAGTTCCCAGCAAAATACAATCGTCCTTTACTTCGAACGATAAGAACGGAACTCTCTCTTATGAAGAATTGCAGGCTCTAGATGATATTGAATTGGCAAATGTTGTTATCTTTGGTAATAGGACATTTCGACCATTGCAGCATCAAGCATGTAAAGCAGCTTTGGCAAAGCATGATTCTTTTATTCTTATGCCTACTGGGGGTGGTAAATCTCTTTGCTATCAGGTCGTTTCTTTCTCATAACCCCTTTTTTTGTTCTTTGTATGTTTCTTTTTTGGGCCACATTCTTCTAACAACTTAGTACGGGTGATGGTTATGCTCTTTTGAAGTAACAATTTACTTTAAAATACTAAAGATCTAGAATGTGTCAAATGATTGTGTATCGTGACTGTCTCTCTTTTTTTTTGTTCGTTATTTGAATGGTTGTTCGAAGCTGTTCTTTGTATCCAGACTACAATGATAGGTGAAATAATATCATCTGTCATCTTATAATGTATATGCTTTTTAACATTTTTGTTTTATTTTGTGCTTAACAGCTTCCAGCAACTCTTCAACCAGGTGTCACAGTAGTTGTATCTCCCTTACTTTCACTCATTCAGGATCAGATAATAACACTAAATCTCAAGTTTGGAATACCCGCAACTTTTTTAAATTCTCAACAAACTACTTCCCAAGCCACAGCTGTCCTCCAAGAGCTAAGGTGAGATTCATTTCCTTGTCTATTACTATCTGTCATTTCATGTCCTATAATTTGGACATGAAAATAGTGGATTAGTATCATTAAAAAAAAAAAACCTTCAAATTATTGATTGCATTAGTATTTAGAATTTTCTTACATCAGTTTTCTTGTATCCAGGAAAGATAAACCGTCTTGCAAGCTCTTGTATGTGACCCCCGAGAGAATTGCTGGCAACCATTCATTTCTTGAGATACTAAAATGCATGCATCAAAAGGTATAGTTTTCCTGATTTGAGTGTATTTTCTCAAACCATTGTCACAGAGTATAGATTATAAAGATTTTATGCACAAATTTAATTGGTACACCCTCTTAAATCACAGGGGCAGCTAGCAGGTTTTGTTGTTGATGAGGCACACTGTGTTAGGTATGCCCTATGCTTTTTGTGTACAATCCAATAATTCTCTTTTATCAAGGACTGCAATTGTATGAAATTTTGGAGACATAACTTTGCCATTGATCATACCGTCTTGAAGCAGAACTACCCCATGCTTGTCTCATATGTGATTGACTAATCACACAATATGAACATGCGCCAAAAGTTTAACTACTAATGAAATGCCGTAGTTTATGAAATGGTAAAGTCGAAATACCTCTCATGTGGGTTACTCTAAAATCAATTATCAATTACCTCCCTTGTGGTTTTTCCCCCTTCCAAGTCGATCTAAATGCTATTTAAAATTGCATAAACTATCCATTTTGCTCCCATAAATAGTAAACAAGGTGTGAGATTCTGCTTCACTCTTGAACAGTAAACAACACATTTGCAGATTTGTGTGAAGCTAAAGCTTGAAATCGTTGAAAATGGAGAAAAGAAGTTGGATTATATGCCATGTGACCTAAGGGTATTTTTGTCATATTCCTATTTATAAATCAGAATTTAAACAGACTTGTATGGAAAAAGAACCACATGAGAAGTAAGTGGTAAAAAAAAGATTATTAGGGGGTAAGTGATTTTAGAGTAAACCACAAGGGAGGTATTTGAACTCTACCCTTTATAAAATACAATTTTGAATTTAGCTTTCATGGTGACCATTAAAAAGGCAAATGAGTGAAAATGGACAGGTTGATTATGGTAAAACACTTCAAATATGGTGAAATCATGAAATCAAAGGTATGATCTTGGGTCATCTGATTGAAGGTTTTCAAATGAAGCCTACCAAGTTCGTAACTTTTCAGACTAAATGGATAAAATCAAAAAAGAAAAGAAATGAGTGTGAAAGTGGGTTAGAAGTGGTAACAATAGGGATTAGTTTCTGAGTTCTGATTCTGACCCATGTCCTCTTTGAAGTAATTGGTATGTCATTTTCACTGACCTCCTACTCCGGTCTTTGCTTTTCTTTATGTTACTTTGAAAGTAGATGCTTCAACTTCAGCCACTTGAGTTTTCAGTATTCCTTTTTATTTCTCATCAAACAAATGGCTCTGCTTCTTGAAATCCTAGTTATTCCTAGCATGATATTGGGTAATCTCATTGCTATTACCCGAACAAGCATGAAATGAATGTTTGCGTAATCATATGTAGGTTAAATCAGATATGTAATTATTAGAATAATTACCTATCATCCATAGGTGATTACATAGGCCAGAAGCTGTATTCATGCCTATTCTTTGATTGTACTGGTTGATGCCGTTCTTGACTGCTTTAAGATATTAAATTGTAACCTGAATATAAAATGTTTTCTTATTTAAGAATTTTCTCTTACTTCCATTATGAGAACCATAAATTGGTCTGATGAAAATTGGGGATGGGGGTTGTTAAAGCTATGTGATTTTGTTGTTAATTACAGATATCATTATTCACTACTTTTAAATTGAAAATTATGCTTTCCAGCCAATGGGGACATGATTTCCGGCCTGATTATCGGGGATTAGGATCTCTCAAGCAAAACTTTCCAGATGTACCTGTCATGGCATTGACTGCCACTGCAACCCACTCAGTTCGTGAGGTAATCAGAATACTAAATTGCTATGATGGACCATTCTACTGAGTATTTCCCCTCCTTTTGTTGCCTTTAAATTGGATTTGTTTCAGGACATTTTAAATGCTTTGAGAATCCCCCATGCACTTGTTCTTGAAAGAAGCTTTGACAGACCGAATTTGAAGTATGAAGTAATTGTTAAGACAAAGGAACCACTGAAGCAGCTTGGACAACTACTAATGGATTGTTTCAAGAATCAGTGTGGAATTGTTTACTGCCTTTCAAAAAATGAATGTGTAGAGGTCTCCAAATTTTTGAATGAGAAATGTAAGATTAAGACAGTGTATTACCATGCTGGCTTGGCTGCTCGCCAGAGAGTTGCTGTTCAAAAGAAATGGCATGAGGGAGAGGTCCATGTTGTATGTGCAACTATTGCTTTTGGAATGGGGATAGACAAACCTGATGTTGTAAGTTGAGATATGGTTTTTAAATTATGATAATGCTGTTATCATTCACAATTTTATGATTAACTTTGTTTAGGAATTCCACAATTAAGAAAGAAATTATGCCCTTCTCTCAAAATAATTCAATAGCTCGATAGTTGATTTACAAACTGAAAGTTCTATTATTGATTTGTTACGTACTTGCAGATCACCAGTTTGATGACTAGAAATGACAGTGGGACCAACCTTCATTTAAAGCATTTTTCTTGCACAGCATTTATCTACAACCTTCATCTCAAACACTTGACTTTAATAGGAAGTCTTCTCCTACCCTTGTATTCATGATTGACATAACTAAATTTTTAATTAAAAAATGATTATTTGCGCAAGCAATTATTCAAACTCCTAGCTATCAGCTTTACCATCCTGCCTAAGCACAAGTTGAAACTATAAACCCAAAATCTTTAAGCATTATAGATCGAATTTGCCTAATAAACAAACTTAAATATAGCCATATGTAAGGTATGTAAATGCTGTATAAATTGCAAGTTATAGAGAGAATCATTCTTCAGGAAAAAAATTTCTTAGTTGTATCTGAGTTTTACAGTTCATTGTTAATATTTATTTATTTATTTACTTTTTTTTTTTTTATAATGCAGTTCTTTGTTACTCAAGTTATCCTTTCCTTGTCATTTGTTTTCAGCGCTTTGTCATCCATAATACAATGTCAAAATCAATTGAAAGCTATTACCAAGAATCAGGAAGGGCTGGAAGAGATAATCTTCCGGCAGTTTGCATTGCTCTATACCAGAAGAAGGATTTTAGTAGAGTTGTATGCATGATAAGAAACGGCCAAGGATATAAAAGGGAAAGTTTTAAGACAGCAATGGCTCAAGCCAAAAAGATGCAACAGTACTGTGAACTAAAGGTAAGCAAGTTCCCTTGCATTCCAACATCTATTGTTTTTTCTCTATTCTCTAACACCTATATTCAGTTTAATACCCTTGAAAATGGGGGTAAAAAAATTAAAGTATGAGCTGTCCATATGGATTTTCATATAAAATTCATCCATAAATTTTGACCCCTATTTTTAAGGGTGTAACAAACTGGCTCCCATGGCAGAAAGATGTTTTTCCACAAGACGTTATATTTTTATCTGTTTGAATGTTTAGGTTGAATGCCGGAGACAAAGTTTACTCAAACACTTTGGAGAATCTTTTGATCGAAAAGCCTGCAAGTATGGATCTAACCCCTGTGATAACTGTCTTAAGATTGCATTGTAAATTGCTGTACGTTCAATTTCAAGTATGATATGCTCTAACCAACTCTGTGGAGCATCACAATTTGCGTTTTTCCTTTTGTTTTATCTATATGGTTTTTTAACCGTTGAAAAGTCAAAATCTCTTTCTAGGTCACTATTTTTCAGATTTAAGAGTTTGGAAAGAAAGGAAAGGAATTAGGGAAAGGAAAGAAAATGAAAGGTATTCTTTCCCCTTGTTTGGGTCCTTTGGGAGTTAAAAAAATGGTAAAGTAAATGAATAGAGGGTCAATGAGATACTTTTATCATTTTATCCTTTCTTTAAAAATTAATATAATTTTTTTTTGTCTTTTGTTCAATTCTAAAAGCTTTCAAATTTAATTAGGGAAAATCAATTGTGTTTATAAATTAATAAACAAAAACTATAATGTGAGAATCTAAAAAATAAAAATAAACAAATGGCCGACTCACTTATTACTTTTGAGCTGGGCTAAAATGAAAACTAAAAAGAAAGAAAGAAAGAAAATCCTAATTCCTAAACACATAGAATGAAGGTGGAATCGTGAAGCAAAACGGCAACAGGTTGCAATGGCAGCGTGAATGGTGCAATATAGGAGACAAAGCAACGCAACATGGTGGTGCTTGTGGTTACTCGTGCGCGTGTTGATTTTGGATATGAATGGGTGACGACGCTTGACTTCATGGGTTTGGTATGGTGGTCAGAGAGACGACACGACGACGTGGTGGAGCTCGCTGTGGTTGGTGGCTAGCGGTGATGGTAGCGGTTATGGAGGTTTGGTTCACGGTGGTTGAAGTGCACATTCGGAATGGCCAATTAAGTAATTTTCAATATTTTCTACCTCAAACCCCTCAAAATATTTTGTGAAAATCCTCAATTCTTGAGGTGCGGACATTGGTATTAGTTCCTAGGAGTGATGGTACAAGGGACGAAATTAATAAAATCCTTTCCAAGCTCTTAAGGAACTAGAAGTGTTCCAGCACAGTATATATTTCAAAGGAAAAAAATTGAAAAATAAAATAAAACAAAATTCAAACAAATAATTCTAATCCTGTAAACCGGAAATGGTATGCTAGAGATTCTTTCTTGGCCATATTGACTTGTTTGGATGAATTTTTTTTTTCTTCTCCATTTTTTTTTTTTTCAGAAAAAAGCATTTTTCACTAACAGTCTGTTTGGATATTTGCTTAAACAAAAAACAGAACTTATAAAAAAAGTCATAAACTTGCTTATTTGGAAACTAAAAAAGAAAAAAAAAAGTCAAAAGTCAAATATAATTTTCAAAAATCAAATATTTTTTAAAAAATTTAAATAACTTTAGCTTTTGTAAAAAATACTTTTAAAATAAATAAGACATAAAAAAAAATTGTTACGAGCCCATCCAAACAGGCCTTGGGGTGGTTATTTTCAGTCCCTGGAGTCACCATTGGTTCCATCCAGGTCAAGGAGTATAAGGACTGATTACAGCTCCACCCAGAACAGTTGCTCTTCCTTTCCGTATGGAAAGAATATTTTCAATACATCTGGTGTAACTGCGACTTCTATTCAAACATTAACACTTAGATTAAATTTTTTTTTTTTTCTCTTTTTCATATACATTACAAAAAATATCTCACTTTAATTGGTCCTTGCATCGAATTAGTGATGCAATGTGTGTACCTAAAATATTTGGCCGTAGCTTCAAAATTTGTCAGAAATTGAAATATTTTCTTAGTTAATAAGAGATGCACTTAGGAGCGCATCATGTTAGTAAAGAGACTAGTGGAATTATATATTTTTATAACTGTAATTTCTAATTTTCATCAACTCAATGCATGATTCCTATTAATGCGGACTATTCATGTCAATCCCCCATAACTTCTGACCACAGGAATCCACCATACAATCTACTGGGGTCAATTCGGACGTTGATTGAGAACTTGTCAGCGTCGAGTACATATTGAAGTCCATTTCACATTCTTGAACAAATGCATGCATTTATTTCTAATTGTAAGGGCACCAACATCTGAAATGAAGAGTCCGTTGAGGCCATCAAAGCACCGACACGCGATTTGTTTTAAAAAATACGTGTTGGGCACTTTTTTTTTTTAGACACAATCAATTTGTTCCGACAAGTAAGCTCCGACACTTTTTTTTTAGGTTTTAATTTTATTTTATTAATTAAATATAAAAAAAAATTATAAATTAATTTTTTTCTGTTATAAAATTTGATATGAAAAATTAACAAGGTACGAAAAATTATTATTTTTTATATTTATGTTATGAAATTTGAATATTGGATTAGTTATATAACTTATTATGAGTTGTTATATGTATTAAATATAGATTATATTATATATATTAAAAATATTATTTAATATCAAAACGTGTCGAAAAATGACATTTTTATAATTAACGTGTCGGAGTATTGTGTCGTGTCCCGTGTCAATGTCGGTGCATCGTAGGTTGAGGCAAATGAATTTAATTTTTATGAACCTTAACATCTAACTATATATTACGCAGTATATAAAAGGGACTGGTTCAACTGATACATGTTCATGATAGGAATATTCACATTATTATTCATCAAGTTCTTATAAATGTCAAAAATCCCTTTTTTGAGAGCTAGTCTTATTATGATGTGAATAGTCCCAGTTTGAATATGATTGCTTGTCATGAAGGATTTATGTGATTTATCAAGGATTTATATGATTTATCAATATATATATATATATATATATATATATATATATATATATATATATATATATATAACAAAGTATTAAAAAAGTTTGTTTATCAGAAGTCAGAAGCATTACATAGAAAGTCTAATATGATGGTAAAAGATGCAGCTACAAAAGATGGGTTAGGCGCGTCTTCTCACGCGCGCGAAAATTTCTCTTGTGCTAGGGTTTCTGTTTTCTGTTTCTTCGTGGGGTGTGATGGAGGAAGCTACTGAATCTAGTGATGAGGCGTTATCAATGGCAATGAAGAGTACTAAGAGAACTAAGAGTGGGTAAGAAATCCCGACGGAGGTTCGTTTGAGAGAAGTAGTGAAGGATTTTTAAGCTGGAGTTCCGTTGAAAACTAAGCAACGCTCGTTTGCTGATGTTACTGGAGTGGAGCATGGGGTAGCAGGGGACTCAAATCCATGGCTGACCGAGGAAGAAGACTTAGATCTAGAGCCTTTGGACCCAAGCTTGGGTGAAATTTCAGAGTGGGGGTTTCAGACGATCTACAGGGAGGATGGTTCAGTGGAAATTAGGAGCAATAAGGAGGCAAAGGCGAGGATGAGGCAGCGGTGGAGAAATGCCATTATAGTCAAGTTACTGGGAAGGAAAATCGGAGTGGGCTTCACGAAGAAGAAGCTTGAATCCCTTTGGGCCAAAGCTGGTAACATTACGGTGGCAGACTTAGGGAATGAGTTTTTCTCGGTGAGGTTTAGCTCCTTGGAAGATCTCAACCTGGCTATCGCTGGTGGTCCATGGATCATTCTCGGGCACTATCTTGCCACTAGAAAATGGGAACCATGCTTTGATCCAGACAAAGCAAACATCCACAAGGTGGCTACATGGGTTCGCCTCCCTGGAGTTCCTCAAGAGTACTGTGAGTTCCCTTTTCTTAACCAATTGGGAGCTGTAATAGGGAAAGTACTGAAAGTGGATAAAACTACATCAATAGGGGACAGGGCTAGGTTTGCTAGGGTGTGTATTGAAGTGGATCTGTCTAAGCCACTGAGAGGAGAATACATCCTTGATGGATGCAGGAAAAGAGAAGAATACGAAGGATTATTTTTAATATGTCTTAAGTGTGGGAAATATGGGCATAATGCTGATTCTTGCCCTGATTATGCTAAGCCGAGCCACACTACCAAATAGGAGGGGGTTCCTGAACAATCTATGATGGACCAATGCAATCAAGGTATAGGACCTTGGATGGTGGTCCATAGAAGAAAAAGAAACCAACAAAATTATCAAAAAAAGGAGGCTGCCATTGGTAGAAAATTTGGGGAAGACATTTCCAACATGAAGGAATCAGAGGAGAATGGTAAGTCTGCTAAGACTACCCAAGAAGTAAAACCAGTGATTACCACAACAGGTCAACAAGCCAAAGACACTAGTAGGCATGATAACTTGTCTAAGGAGAATGAAGGGTCAAAGAACAGGGACAAGTCAAGTGCTAGTGGGATGAATTTCTCGGCTGCTGCAACAAGTCAGCCTAGGAAAACTACAGGAGGTAAAATTCTTGTGTCTTCTAATAGGAAACAAGTTCCCAAGAAAACCATCAGCAAAGGCAAATGAGTTCTTCCTCAAACTCCTACTATTAATTCCTCAACCAGTAATTTGGTGGGGCATAATTCTTCAGTTGTGCACAACCTGATCAGTGGGGAGCAGTATAAAGGAAAGCTCTGGGGGGACCTGATGATGGCTGTAGATTCCTCAATGGAGGAGAATAGTGTTGGGCATTCCGAGGGGTTTGTAGCAGCAGAAAAGGTGGAGTTTGAAGATCTTGTGAAAGAACCCGATCCTCCTGATCAGGATATGCTAAAGGAGAGTAAAGAAGGAGAGAATCAATCAGGTATGGAGGTTGATAGATCTTTAGGTACTCCTATTAATCATCATATGGTTGTTGATTGTAATCTTGTATGTAGTCAAGAGTTTTCTGCAGTTAAGGGAATTGATACTGTTAATCATGATCTAAGCAGCAAATGCTTGAAAACTTGCAAATAAACCAATCTTTGTAATGAATATCATCACTTGGAACTGTAGGGGGGCTGCAAAAAAACAGTTCAAGAGTATTTTTACTAGATTCTGTAGAAAGCATAGTGTAGGGATGGCTGCTATACTTGAACCTAGAGTTAGTGGTTCCAAAGCTAATAAAATTGTTCGTAGTTTGGGTTATTCTAATCATATTGTTGTTAAGGCACATGGCTTTTCTGGTGGCATTTGGCTGGTGTGGAATAACAGGGATGTCAAGATCACCCTTATATCTAAGCATGACCAGTTTATTCATGTTTGGGTAGATCTCCCTGAGATGAAAGGATTCTACTGGACTGTTGTCTATGCTAGTCCTCTTTTAAATAATCGGCAAGTGCTTTGGGAGGAGCTTAAATTCATAGGCAGAAATATGGATGATCCTTGGCTGGTGACTGATGACTTCAATGAGATAGCTTTGGCTTCTGAAAAAGGGGAGGGGGACCTGTGGGTGGTAATAGATGTATTCAATTTGCTAATATGCTCAATGCTTGTAGGGTTATGGATTTGGGAGGTGGAGGTAATAGGTTTACTTGGAAGGGGCCAAAATTCTCTCATTTAGAGAGAGTTTATAAAAGACTTGATAGAGCAGTGGGTAATAAGGATTGGAGAGCTGCTTTTGAGGAAGCTGATGTCCTTGTTCTTCCTAGATTATTTTCGGATCATAGCCCAATTCTTGTCAGGATGATGAGAGAGGACAATTGCTGGAGGGAGAGACCCTTTAGATACCTGGTTGTTTGGCAGAATGATGCCAGATTCCTTTCTTTTCTGAAAGCTAACTGGATCCAGTCTGATGGATTGTTGGATAATCTGAATTCTCTTGCTCTTTTACTGAAGGATTGGAACAAGAATGTTTTTGGATTTACTCACTTAAGGAAAAACAGAATCATTGCTAGATTGGAGGGGATTCAAAGGAGTATCAATTCTTATAATAGCTATCAACTAGAGAAGTTTGAGGCTAAGTTGAAGAAGGATCTTTCTGATATTCTTGACAAGGAGGAACAAATCTGGTTCCAAAAGTCTAGGGATGTATGGATAAGAGATGGAGACAGAACTACTAGATTTTATCACTCTAGTACTGTTATTCGCAGGAAAAGAAACAAAATCTTGAAGCTTCAGGATGAAAAAGGCAATTGCGTGAATGAAGAGGGGAAACTAATTAATCTAGCAAGGGACTTCTTCCTAAACTTGTTCAAGGATGATTCTGAAGGAGCTAATTGGATCCAAACTAATAATTCTTGGCCGAATGTAAGGGAGGATCAACTTGAGATGCTGAATTCAAGGCTAACTGTAGAGGAAGTAAAAAAGGCTTTTTTTCCAAACGCCTCATCTAAAAGCACCTGGAGTTGATGGTTTCCAGCTATTTTCTTCCAGAGGAATTGGGAGATGCTAAAAGGTCAACTTTGTAACAGCATGCAACATTACTTGAAGTTTCCAAATCAGATTGGTGAGATAAATCACACTCTCCTTGTGGTAATTCCCAAAGTAGAAAGGCCTTGTTTGATGAAACAGTTTCGGCCTATAGCCCTTTGCAACTCTATTTATAAAGGGTTTAGCAAAATTCTGACAAATAGAGTGAAGCCTTTGCTTGAAGATTTGGTGTCCCCTAATCAGGCTAGTTTTGTGCCTAAGAGAAACATTCAGGATAATATAATTATTGTCCAAGAGCTTATTCACTCTATGCATAGATTGAAAGGTAAAAAAGGATTCTTTTCTATCAAGATAGATCTAGAAAAGGCATATGATAAACTGAGCTGGAAGTTTATAAGATCAGTGTTGGTGGATTTGAATCTTCCTGGTTTTTTGGTGGAAGCTATCATGGGGTGTGTGACTAGCCCAACTCTGGAGGTGCTGTGGAATGGTGCTAGAACCCCCACCTTCTGTGCTCAAAGGGGAATTAGACAAGGGGATCCCTTATCACCATATATCTTTGTTCTTTGTATGAAAAAATTAACACATCTGATCTTGGATGAGGTGGAAGGTAATTCTTGGTGCCCAATGAGAGCTGGTAGGGCTGGTCCACACATTTCACATATAATGTTTGCTGATGATATTATTTTATTTGCATAAGCCTCTTTAGATCAACTCAATTGCATCATTAATTGCCTTGACAAATTTTCCAAGATGTCAGGCCAATGTGTGAGCATTGAAAAGTCTTGTATATATTTTTCTAAAAATACTAAGCAGGAAACTATGCAGTCTATTGCTGATGTGAGTGGCTTCAAGGTGGTTAAGAATCTTGGTAGGTACTTAGGAGCTTTGATGAGGCATGGGAGAATAAGGAGGGATCATTATTCTGAGGTCATATCCAGAGTTCAGGTAAGGCTTCAGGGATGGAAATCCAAATGCCTGTCTATAGCAGGGAGAATTACCCTTGCAAAAAGTGTCATTTCGGTCATTCCATGCTACCATATGCACAATAATATGATTCCAGTTCATATCTGCAATGATATTGAAAAAATACAAAGGAATTTTAAATGGGGGGATGAGGAGTCTAAGAGAAAAGCCCATTATATGGCTTGGGAGATGATGTGTCAACCAAAGGAGTGTGGAGGAATGGGTATTATCAATTTAAGGATTCAAAATGAGGCATTTATGCACAAGCTATCCTGGAAGATTATAGAGGAGAAGAACAGTTTATGGGTTCAAGTTTTGCTAGGAAAATATGGTAGGAATCTTGATCCTAACCGTAATCTAATAGCAAAAAGTAATGATTATGTTCTTTGGAAGAACATTGTTTCGGCTAGATCCAAGATTGATCAGAATCTGGAGTGGGCTGTGGGGAATGGTAAATCCATTTTATTCTGGACAGACCAGTGGGAAGGGTGGCAGGATTCCATGTTGGAAAGGGCTTTGATTAAGCCTCCTATGGATGACCTGAATCTCAAGGTGTGTGATGTTTTTGACTCTAATCTTGAAGATTGGAATTGGAACTATCTGCATAAGTTCCTGGACTTATCTACCAGCAACAATTTGAGTAAGCTAACCATTCCTAATTCTAGCTGCCCTGAATATAGGCTCAAGTGGAAGAATTTTGTTACGAGTAGGTCAGTGGTGAGAAATGCCTACTGTCTTTTGCTGAAGCCTATACATGAGAAGGACAAAATATGGTCTGTTGTGTGGCAGTGGAAGGGACCTTATAGACTAGCTGTGTTTTTATGGTTTGCTTGTCTTAATAAATTGCCAGTAAGAAGCATCACCCGTCTTTGGAGTGGAGGTGAGTTCCAATGCCCCACTTGTGGGCTGGGTCAGGAGACTTTAATTCATTTGCTCAGAGATTGTATAGCTGCTAGAAGAATTTGGGAGCTGTGGTTTGCTGGCAATATTCCCAGAAAATTCCTACAATTTGAAGGTTTGGAATGGTTCAGGTTGAATCTGTATAAGAATTTCTCTTCTTATCTATGGAATTCATGGACTGAAATTTTCTTTGTGACATGTTGGTTCATTTGGCATTGGAGGAATGCTACCATACATGAGGAGCTATTTTTGAGACCTCAAGATCCGGTTTATAGAATTTTGTGCTATCTAAAGGAAATGAAGATAAGAAGAAGAGAGGATCCTGCTTCTGTGGAACCTGCTGATTCTGTAATCCCTAGTTGGTTTGGACAGATGGATTCTGGTAATGGGGTGAAAATCTATGTTGATGGAGCAGTTAATTTGGTTACTCATAAAGGCGCGTGTGGTGGGTTTGTCTACTCAATTAATGGTGGCTGGTTGAGTGGATTCTCCCTCAATATAGGAGCTTGTTCTCCTTTGGAAGCTGAGCTTGTTGGTATCCTCCAAGGGCTTAAAATAGCAAAGAATCTTAAGATCTCCAATGTTTGGTTAGGAAGTGACTGTAAAGAGGCAATAGCTTTGTTAAAGGCTGATTCTGAAGCCTGCAATTTCCTATCTTTGATAGAGAACATCAGGAAACATGTCAAGTCTTTTAAGCATTTTCATGTGGAGTTTATACGCAGAGCTTGTAATAGCATAGCTGATTCCTTAGCTAAGTTAGGTTTTAATTTCAAGGGTGATGAGTTGAAAATGTATACCTCTTCCCCTGGAAGCATAGAGGACTTGTGGAACAATTTTAGTTTGAATTTGCTGATAGAGCATGTGAATATTAACATGCATCAGCTGTCTTTGTAGTTCTTGTTGGGCTAGGCCCTCCATTTATACCAAAAAGAGAGAGAGTTTAATATGATAACCGGACTGGGTTGTTTGACTGAAAAATTGGTGAACGAATCAAGTTTGGTCTATCCAGCCCAAAAAATATTGAATGATCAGCTGTCGTCGGTGATGGTTCCTATTAAGTTCATATGAACCTTTACTTCTAATTCTCTGAATATTATTTTGGATTTTTTTATATAAATAATGATTGCACCACTCGAATTTGATAAAAACCTTCAATTATGAAGATTATTTTTATTTTTTGGATCATATGAATAGTTGTAATTTACAAAAAAGTATATTATAATTTTGTTTCTCCGTATAAAATTTTCTAGCTTCGCCCACGATAGCTAATTGAATCAGCCCAATATTGATTGAAAATAGATGGTAGAGAATTATTGGTTTGAACTAATTTTGGTTTTTTTTTTTTGTATTTTTAATTTAGCCAAAAATATTTTTGAGTCAAATAATGGCTATACAATGGTCTTCTTATGACATTCATTTAGTATCTTATTTTTTTATGATTAATTTAAAATTTTGATTAACTTTATTTTTTATACTTTTATAAAAGGGAAAAGTGTTTGTCATTTTAAATGACATAAAGTTATGTCATTTTAAGAGAGAGATAGACATAGAAAAAAATTTATTTAAATTTTAAATTAAAAAAAAATCACCCACTTTCTTTTTCCCATGATTTTCATTTTTTGTGTCTATCTCTCTTTTAAAATGACATAACTTATGTCATTTAAAATGACAAACACCGAGCTCTTTATAAAAATAATGTCATATATTAAATATTATTAAAAATAATGTTTAATTATCATTAGTTTAGTGAATTATGAACCAATATCTTTATCAATTCAATGGCCGGTCTAATCTTTAAATCAGTCAACTTTATACTATTGTAAATTAAATTTAAATTTAAGGCAAAACATGGATGTATATCAGTTATACATTGAAGTATTGAACTAAAGTAACACTGTGCGCGCGCGACTTGTTATACAGATTCAAATTTGACTTCTCAAGAAGAGAGATTAGCCCATGTATAAAGACTGATAGTGCACTTTTCACAGCACTCGACCAAGAACCTTTGCGGACTTGTAGTTAACAGAGATTATGAAATATGAATCTATTATAAGATTTACAAATCATACATTAAGGGAAAATGGTCCTTTTCAAGATTATGTATTGACATAAAAGCACATGCTATGTAATCCTAACCAATAGAGGTGAAACTGGATCGGCCCGGCCTACAGAGGCCTACAGCTCGACCTATATCAGGCCAAACCTAATCTAGTATATTTTGTATAATAGGCCAGGCTTAGGTCATAAAAAAATTTGTTTAATAAAAAGGTCGTAGGCTCACTTTCAAAAGGTCGGGCCTATAAGCCTACAGGCCGGCCTATATTGCACTATTTATTTAAATAAAATAAAATAGAGTAAGTATGCCTTAAGAAAAAATAAAAGATATAAATTTAATCAATTGCAATTATTTATAACTTAATTATATTCGATTATATTTTAATAGAAATCTTACTTTAATTCTTATATAGGAGGAACCAACATCTCAACATGTTAGATTGTGTATATGAATATATTAAAGAGTAAATACCCTTTTTCGTCCATGGAAATATTTGCGAAGCACAATTTAGTCCCTCGGTTTAAAAAAGTCACATTTCAGTGTTTCATTTTTTTTAAAAAGGGCCATGTTCGTCCTTCCGTTAGTTGGCATCTAACGGCCCAACTAACGGTGCACATGTGGACCGTTACTTTGCTGAGTCACTGTTAAGTATGCCAGCGTGGAAGTAAAACGACGCCGTTTTGAAGGTGCCTTATGTCTTGTTGGAGTTTTGAACAGCTGAAGGTCCTATTTAGTCCCTGACAAATTTATCGAGGCCCTATTTGGTCCTTAACACTAAAAAATCACCATTGCAGCAAACCTTTCAAACCACCATTGCAGCAAACCAAGGCTTATGCTATTGGCCAAGGCTTATGCTATTCGATCAGATTTCCCATTGTCAACAACCACCTGAAACCAAAAAAAGGATTACAACAATCTTTTACAATATATAACGAGCTTTCTACAGTATATATGAAGTGCCAATATGGATACAACCTTACCCAATGAAGCAGTAACCAACCCCTTTGAACGTCTAGGACATCCAATGACCAGTGCCCAGTACCTTCTTTGTAGGATTCTCTTTTTTGTGTCAATCTATTTAAGGATCAAATGGAACAAGGTCAGAAAAAAAATGAAACAGATATAGCAACTTGAGATTGTGACCATAATAGACCAATGCTCTGGAGGTTATATCATCCAGGTCAGCCAGCATGAAGCATTTGATGAAAAAGTACAATTATCACTCACATCATCTGACGCCCTGGAAGTTTTCTCGCGGAAGATGGAATGCAAAACTGCAGCACTTGTCTGTGTCCTTCCCATCACCAGAATGCCAGAGCAGTCTATGTCCAGTCTATGTACCTTAATATATACAATCTTGTTCAAGTATCAATCTAATATCTAGTTCATACTTCATATATCCAAGCAACCATCAATAATATTGGCACAGAACTAAAACACAAGGCAAACAATCCCACAAATTTCATGGATGTTCAAGCTTTGTAATGATGATAACAGATGCAACGATCTATAAAAAAAAAAAAATTAACTTTTACCATTCTTTTTTACAAAATACCACTTTCCAAAATCATGGCAACTGTCTTGAGTAACAATAAAAGTGTTGTCTAATGAAAAAGGAGAACACATGAAAAAAGAAAAGAAAAGAAAAAAGAACTCATTCTTCCCTTTTCATTTAATGCATTGTTTGCAATTGCAAGGAACTCCTTTAGAAGTGATACCTCTAAAAGGTCGTAAGAGTGAAACCTTTGTAATTAAACCCTGATGCATGAAACAATATATTGCTTCATAGAGGAAAAAAGTTTCATTGTGGGTTCTTATATTATTGTCATTATTACACAGCCAATGCAAAACTTGAGCAAGTTGAGTACACGATATGATGAGCTCCCCGTCCTCTCTGGACACAAACAGCTAGTGGTGGATTGTGATGTTCAAATCATTAACGAAAAAGTACAATAATTTGAGTCAATGTGATTTTCCTGCGATGAAATGCAGTTCTCCTTCACCAAATACTCTATTCGACTTTAGTTTCATTTTATCATCATCACTTTTTATTGAATCAGAGCATAAGCCTTGGCCAATGGGAAATCTGATCGAATAGCATAAGCCTTGGTTTGCTGCAATGGTGGTTTGAAAGGTTTGCTGCAATGGTGACTTTTTAGTGTTAAGGACCAAATAGGGCCTTGATAAATTTGTCAGGGACCAAATAGGACCTTCAGCTGTTCAAAACTCCAACAAGACATAAGGCACCTTCAAAACGACGTCGTTTTACTTCCAAGCTGGCATACTTAACGGTGACTCAACAAAGTAATGGTCCACGTGTGCACCGTTAGTTGGGCCGTTAGATGCCAACTAACGGAAGGACGAACGTGGCCCCTTTTTTTCAAATATGAAACACTGAAATGTGACTTTTTTAAACCGAGGGACTAAATTGTGCTTCGCAAATATTTTCAGGGACGAAAAAGGGTATTTACTCTATATTAAAAGATTTTTGGGAGAGGTTATACTTACTACAAGCATCATGATGTGTTTGTTGGATTCATCTAGTTATTTTAATTTACATAGTATGCATTTATTTGTTGATCTGATGAAATATTTGTTATTTAGTTTGAGCATTTTGCTTTTGAAAATGATTTAAATGCATTTTGTATGCGTTTTGTCATGATTCATGATTCTGTTTGGACGTTGAAATTATGATTTTTGATGTAGCAACAGAATTTGAGTACTTTGTAAAGTTGATTCATGGTTCTGCTTGGAAGATAAAAATTAATAGGCTAACGGGCCAAGTCAGGCTACTTGTTTTTTTATATTGGGTCAAGCGAGGCTAACAGTTAGACTCATACTAGGCTTGGGCCAGACTAAATTGAAATTTTTTTGACGTAGACTTGGACTTTTCGGAGCAAAGCTTAGTCCCAGCCCAGCCCACTTTCACCCCTACTAACCAGTCCCTATATTTTATTTTTTAAAGCCTTCTTCTTAACAAAATACAAATTTGGAGCATGACATCTTAACCACTTATGTTTTCAGCCAATTTTCACCCTCACATAAACTCTCTTATATAGAAATTACGTTTAGAATTTGAGATGAACCCAAATCTTAATTTGATTTCAAATAACCCTCAAGATACAGCTTGCTATAACTGTATAGACGTGATGTACATATTATTAAAGACAAATATGATTAAGAACATAAAAGTAAGATAGTTTATAAATGATGATTTTATGATTATATTCTTCTTCTTGTTTTTTGATTTTATCAGTTGTACTAAAATAATGATAAAATAATCATCTTTAATTTATTAGAATTCAGTTAATAATTCTTATTTTCCTCTCAAAAAATATTTATATTGCTTTGCTTTGCAAGTACAGCACTATAAATTATAGGATTTGACTTTTGTTAAAACTACAGTTTTCTGTTTAATAAAATAAGGGAAAAGTGTGTATCCTTTTAAAGGATACACACTTATATCCTTTTAAGAGAGATAAAGAGACAAATTTGGGGAAGAGAGAGTGGATGGAAAAATTTATAATTTGAAATTTGAAAAAACACACTACATTCATCTAAAAGGACCATCCTTTTAAATGACAAACAATAAACACATAAAATAAAGGCTTTAATGTTTGTTAACTACCAAAAAAAAAATTGTTTGTTTGTACTTTGTACGGAAAAGAAATCAAATGTTTTTTTAATATTTTGTACCCCTTCCTTCCCAAAAAAATAAATTGTATAATCTTTTTTTTTTTTGGAGTTACCCAACCCTAATTATCTCTTTGAGACGAGTTGGCTCCTTTCGGTATCCCCACGAGCTTCGACTCTTTGAGCCGGCTATGGGACTAATTCGGAGTGCGGGGGAACAGTGATGGCTAAAGGTTCAGCCCCCTCCCCAAGAATGCATTCAGCGGGAATCGAACACATATCCAACCCCACTAACTGGAGTGAGATTATATTTTAATTTATTTTTTCTTATAACATCTTACAAACACTTTTATGATTGTTGGATGAAAATCAAATCACAGTTATAAAATGATATTAAGTAAGAGTTCTTGATTTAATTTTGATCTAACAACTATTAAAGTTGTTGCAAGAGAAAATAAGTTATAAATATAATATTTCTCATCCTTTGGTAATGCAATTTTTTTATGGGAAATATGTTTCAGATGTTGTACGAGACAATTTTGTTGTCTCATGCAATATATATATAAATAGTTGAGATCCAATAAAAAAAAGAGAGAGAGAAAAAAGTGAATTTCATCTATTTTTTGTGTGTGCATTTATCTCATGCAAAAAACATATTTCTCTTTTGAGAAGAGTTTCAGTCTTCTCGGACCACTATTTACTCAGTAATCCAGATCAATCAAAATCATACAATTAATGAGGAAAGAAAAGAAATAAAAAATAACTTTTTATCCAAATGTCATATCTTGAATTGAAGGATCACATGGGGCCTGGAGCACTGAAAAGATTTCCTATTTTTTTTATTTGTTAAATTCATCTGAAAATATTCATAAAATTTTGACCTATTTGTTAGAAATGGTAAAAATGAAAGTAAATCAACTCATTTCATTTATTATATTATTCGACACTTAAAACAATTTTAATTTATGAAATAAAAATAAATCATACTTATTCAATGTACAACATCATATTTCTACATTTTTTAGAAGTAAAAAATTATTTCAAGTGAAAAATTCATCAACAATAAACAATGCGAAAAATTTCATAATTTTATAAAAATATTTACAGTACTTCGTCAGATTTAATTTTTATACATGAAGTAAAAAATAATTCTTGAACTACGATGATTGTTAAAGAAATCAGTTATTCATTTTATTGTTATTAAAGTTTTATAATATTTAAAAAAATAATTAAAACAACATGTAATTATAATTTAACAATTCAGTTGACGAAAATTACATTTTATGATCATTGAATGATATAAAATAATGTACTTTTTTATGTGTGTGTGTGAAGAGAGAGAGAGAGAACATGTGTTAAGATGAAATTTGGTGCGAGTCACAGGACAGAGATGACAAATTCATTAAATATATGACTATAAATAAATAACTGTAAAGAGACAGCTCACAACCTTGTCTCTTGTTTTGTGTCTCCCATCAGATTTGTGATTTATTCCATTCAACGTACCACTCGTCTTCTTTGGAAACAGTATTAAAATATCACTTTTTATCTAAATATTACGTAAATAATATGTCCAATGAACTCGATTGGTTAATGTGACATATTTTTGGTGAACACCAAATTCACTACTAACTTAGTTGTATATTGTGGGGGGATGCCTAGTTCGCTTGGACCCTCAGCGAACTAGGTGCATGTCAGACACGTGGTGTCACATGGCACATAATTCGCTTGATGTCCACTAAAAACATGTTACATCAGCAAATTGAGTTTGTTGGATATTGTAGCAAACTTGTCTACGTGGCATATTGAAAAATAATATTATTTGCATGACATTTGAATAAAAAAATTGGTGAACAATAACATTTTGCACACTGTTTCTCATCTTTAAATATTAGCATTCAATTACTACGGCGTCGTTATATTAAAATGTGGTGCACGGGGCCACCAAGTAATCTAACCGTTCATTAATGAACATTAAAATGAGTGGCCAGGATAAAATGCGAACAACCTATGTTTTGAACAGGTAATTCATGATGGACGGTTTTATTACTTGGTTTCCCCTCAAGTATTTGGAAATTTTTCAGATAACAATTTTGCTAAAAGAACACAACAAATTTTCAGATAGCAAATTGGTACTTGTTTTGCAGTATAATATAAATTGTTTTAATAATTCTTTATCAAAGTGAAATTTCTGTTTTTTCCAAATTTGTATAAATGGTACATTTGAGTTGAAAACTGATAGAGGAATTCTTTTACTGAGGAACCAACATGTAAATTATATTACTCAGTGTATTCTGTGGTAAAAGAAAATTTAAAAAAATCTTCCATATACTTGCTATTAGAGGTCATCTATTTAGTGCACCCCAACAAAAGATGGTGAAAAAATAAACGTTTTTTCTTCCTAATTTAATTTATGTTTAGTTTTTAATACTAACCGTCTGATTATTATTGTCATTGGTTATGACTCAGAATTTTAAAGTTAGGCGGGACAATATTATAAGAAAGTAATTTTATTTATTTTAATGAAATAAGTTATAAATTTTTAGGGTTTTATAATAGTAATATTGTAGGAAAAGTGATTATGTAATGTTATATAGATTCATTTTGCGTGCCATAATTTTTTTTTTTTCAAAAAATATGTGCCCACAAAATATTATGAATAAAAAAATTTATTGTGCCATTTTAAATGGAAAATATAAGTCGACATATTTATGTAGATAACATTATATTCTTGTACTTTTTCTTTTTACTCAATCTCTGACTTTCCTTTCATTTTTACTACGCAAAGCAAATACAGTTTTCTTCTTCTCTGACACACGCAAACACAGATCTTTCCTTCTTCGTTGCTCATTTGGATTATCTTGTGGAGAAATAGAAACTCATTTAAGGGTGAGATGAAAGAAAAGTTCTGGTTTTTGATATGTTGAAGAGTGAAGGCTCATATGGGTAACCTGAGATTGATGGATAAAATAGAGTGTAAGCATTGAATAATGGGTGTTTGTTGAGATTGATGAAAATGACCCATGAACCCTAACTTCTTTCCATTTTCAAGGACAACCCTTTCATGAAGAGCTGAATTTTAGGATATGCGGTGTGTATTTTTTGTTGCAAGAAGGAGACTTGAAAATGGGGTTCTTCTTCACGCGTGTTTTTGCCTCTCTCCAACACAGACAGATTCGGTTTCTTGAGAGAGATATAACTGTTGAAAAGATCTCTCATTTGTGAGTAAAGTTTTTGCTTTATAATTAATAATGGAGATCGAGAAAAGACGTTCCAAGGGAAGCTTCCTCAGCTTCTTTGATTGGAATGGGAAATCTCAAAAGAAGCTGTTTTGTGACAATCCCAACTTACCTGGTAATTCTTTGCAGTCTCTCATATATATTTCATTGTTTTATTGTTCGCATATTTTACACTGCTATCTTGCTTGCTTTGTCCATGTATTGTATCTTCTTCATTGCTTAAAAGTCTTTCTCTCTAGTGAATGTGATGTTCCTATTCTAAGCACTTCTGCTACGTTAATTGTAGAAGTTTCAAAGCAAGGAAAGGAAAACATGGACAAAATGCCAATGTCACAGGACAAAAGGGTGTGAATTTGTTCAACCTTTCTTAGTCTACTAGTTATATGTAGCCTTTTTCCTTTCTTTTTTATTTATTTTCCTGCTTTCCATATTACATTTTTTTTTTTTGAATTGTTTCAGATAAAGATGGATGATAGTGGAGCAAATGCTAGTAATATTGTAAGTCGTGATTTTAACTGTGCCTTATCAACTAGTAGTGATGAAGGGTGTGGGACTAAAGCCCCAGGGTTAGTAGCCAGACTCATGGGTTTGGATTCATTGCCAGTTTCAACAGTGTCTGAGCTCTCCTCCACTTCATTATGTGGCTCCAACTCTCTTGGATCTTCTCATTGTCATGAGGGTGCTCTTCATTCAGTGGCTGATTATTTCCCTGTGGATTCCATAACTATGCCACTTAAGCCAGAGAAGTCTTCTTGGGGTTCCAGGGAATCAAAGGCTCAGAAAGTGGTAAACCTGTCAATAAAGAGATTTCAAGCTGAAATGTTGCCTCCAAAGTCTGCTAAACCCATTCCAGTTACTCACAACAAACTTTTGTCTCCTATCAAGAACCCTGGCTATATACAACCTAAGAGTGCAGCTCATACTATAGAGGCAGCTGCTAAGATAATTGAGGCAAGTCACCAGCCATATATGAGGAATAGAATGTCTTCGGTTGGATCTTTATTTGTTCCATTAAGAATTCTTGATCTGAAAGAGAAATTGGAAGCTGCGCAATATGAATCCAAGCTCATCGGTCTGCACACGACTAACCCTGTGAATGGCAAGCTTAGTGAGAAGAGGAACAACTTATATAAATCCACTCCATCAGAAAAAAATAGTTCTCGCCATTTAGCAAGTAAAGGAAAATCTGCTTCGCTTGCAATACCATCCAAAGCCAATGTTCAGAACAGAGATATGCCGACTTTGAATGGTAATAGGGAATGTATGAAACAGAATGAGAAAAAATCAAACCAATTATCCAGGAGCCAGAAGAAACAAATTACAGACCGGGCCAGGGTCGTGCAACAGAGAGCTTGTACTGGCCAGAATAGCAATGAACTTGGGCAGAATAATCAAAAGCTGAATAGTGTAACCACCAAATGTAAATCCACTTCAAAAGTGAACTCCAATAAGCCAACACGAACTTGGTCTTCAGAAAGTTCAGCTGGTTCAAGGAAGAAAACAAACAAGGGTGCTGTAAATGCCAACATTGAGCCCAAAAGGTCAAGCACAAGGGTAAGTGATACCCAAAAGGAGTTTCCAGTATCCAAAAAAAAGAGTATTTCCCAAATGAAAAGGTATATTCATAGTGATGTTCAGAATGAGGCAAAAGGTTCTGATGATGCAGTTAATAGTTATGAAAGCAAGTCCATAAAATGCAATATTACAACTGATGGAAATATTGACCAGGATGCATTTAGCATGAAAGAAAACAAGGATGTGATTTCATTTACATTTACGTCTCCCTTGAGGAGAAACATACCTGAGTCACAGTCCTCTACTGAGCAAGTGATGGGAACAAGGAACAGAATTAATGTCAATTCTTATGGTCATATTGATAAGCTTTCTCCCAAAAAATTGTCATTATCTCCTTCTACGTTACATGTGATAGATGGTGATGCTTTAAGTGCCCTTCTGGAGAAAAAGCTGCAAGAATTGACATCTAAAATTAACCCACCTCAATGTGCCTTGGCCACAGAAGGGTCTTCCGTTGGTTTAAGATCTAGTTTAGAAGACAAAAGGGAACAAGACAGAAGCTTTCACCCCAACCTGCTTAGTAATAAATTGGACAGCATGCATGACAATTGTTGTTCTTCAAGTGATAATTTTGTGCTTAACATGAATCATCAACTGCAGGTCTCTCTCATTTCTTTTATACTGTCAGCTTTATCTGTTATGGTCTTATGGATTTTATTTGAATTTTCAAGTATTAAATATTAGTATATTATCCTTGGTAACTTTCTGCCATCGATTAGTTAAGGGATTATATTTTAGGGTTTTGGTTGTGACGGGGGATTTGTTTAATATGGTCTGCACATCAATTACAGAAACAAAACTTTCATTTCTGTTAAGTTATTTAAAATTTTCAATTATTTTAATCTTTGAACTGAGAAGAACCCATATACTCATTTTAGTACTTAATCACTCTTCACTTGTGCAGTCATCAGAACCAATGGAAGAGCCTAGCTGTAGCAGCGATAGTGAAAGCGGAAATGGTCTAAGTTGTCTCCACAAAAGAGCTGTTACAGTTTTTGAAAATAATTTTTTCAGTGAAAGTTACTTGGATAGTGAAGATAGTATATACGGTAATGTTTTAATCTTTATTTTCTTTACACTTCTGATGAGTATTATTTTATCCATATTTAAAGGCAAAAAACCTTGCAACTTGAGTAGCTTTCTCTTATAAATTTGAAATTGCAATATTGCATCAATTTTTAAGAACCTTGAGGCATGCTATATGGAAAAGTTAACTTTAGAATTGTCATTGGGCCACATGTGGTAATATAAGCTTGCAGGCGTTGGAGAATTCTTTTTAATAGCTGTCAATTATGCATGATTTTGGAGTCTTTTATGACAAATTTTATATAAATGTCAAATATCCAATATGCCATGCAAGTGTTATAAAGATGTGTTAGGTCATTAAAATAACTTGGAATTATTTTTTTTGTGGTTCCTCAGCACAAATGCAGATAACCATAAAATATTAATGCCTGTCCATATTTACCCGGTTTGTAGGCAGCACAGTTTATTCTTCCATGCAAGATGAAGAAGTATCTGATTTTTCTCCAATAAATGAATCTTTGTCACTTGAAACTGACATGAAATTGTCTGAGCAAAACTCTTACACGGAGGTGAGAGGTAACATGGCTATCCAACAATTAAGTGTAATGCCAAATTCGGGCAATTTTACAAGATCAACAAGGAACATGGAACTTGAATATATAAAGGATATACTCAGCAATGCAGAGTTGATGGTAGAAGAATTCGTGGTGTGTCAGACAGATAAGATCATAATGCCAAATCTCTTTGATCTGTTGGAGAATCAGAGAAATGGGGCAGAAAACTATGAAGAGTATTCTAAGCTTGAGAGGAAGGCTATATTTGACTGTGTAAGTAATTGCCTAGAATTAAGATGTAGGCAAGTTTTTGTTGGAAGCTGCAAAGCATGGCCTAAATGGGCAGCATCAGTTCAGAGGAAGAACTGGTTAGCAGAAGAATTGTACAAGGAGATACTGGGCTTTAGAAGCATGGAAGAAGAGGTGATGGTGGACAAGCTTGTCAACAAGGACATGAGTATTCCATGGGGTAGATGGCTTGACTTTGACATTGAAGCCTTTGAAGAGGGTTTAGAACTTGAACTTGACATAGTAACTAACTTGATTAACGAATTAGTTTTTGATTTGTTACTTGTTTAATCCCTTGGTGGTTTACATTTTCCCCAATATATCTGATATATGTACATGGAAGACATGTATGTTTTATTTTTCTTACGAAGGAAAGAATCAAAAGCATTACAATTCCCTCTATGCCTTTCCAATGGATAGTAATATTGTTTCTGTACTTATTGACGGCATAATTTAAGTTGAAAACTGAAAAGTATATTAGTAAATTGGCTCCTCATTACCAAAAAAAAAAAATGGTCCCTTTTCTGTATTGTATTTATTAATTATTACGCATATTTTTATGATAAAATTTTACGAAGTTTTGTTGTTCTTATGAAGAAAAATGTTGCTACTTAATTTGAAATGTTATCTATCTAGATTTTAACTAAAAAAGTTAGGCACTAAAATAAACCTTCAAGTTGGCTATACTATATAAATAATTTTATTTCAAATTCCTAAAATGTAAGGATGAACATATAGTTAGGAGACTTTACTAACTGACTTGGCTGATACTTTCGATGAACATAAAACATAAATTAACTGTATAATTAACGAATTTATTTGGTTGATAAATATTTTGGAGTTAATTGTAATATTTTTTTCAAATTCAAAAATTTGGGTAATTTTTTTTTTTTTTTTTTTTGTGAAAGTATGGGATACAAGGAAAAAAAGAAGCTAACTACAAATTTATAGACATAAAGGATCAAAGATCATATAGTGAGTATAGTTATTGCATTGAAAGATTATGTATAGAGAAGTTAAATAATCTCCCTGTTCCATTGCGAGTCTGCCTCAATCCTCTAGCATCTCTTTTTATGCGATAATAATGGTCATTAATAGATAATTAGAGTCGATTTACGCAGATTTACGTTTGATTGCAACGTATCATGCGGTTTCTTCCTTATTTCATTGTCTTTCTTTTAGCCCCTTCTGATATGTGGTATCATTTTTGCACCCCACTCACTTATTCATCTCTCTCTCTCTCTAAATCACACCTCTCTCTCTCTAAATCACACCTAATACAAGAACTAGGGGTGTAAATGGGCCAGGCTGGCCCAGCCCAGCCTACGGCCCGGTCTACATTGAGCCCAGCTCAGGCCTAGCCTTTCAGAAAAGTAGAGTAGGCTTAGGTTTATACAAAAGCTTTTTTAATAAATAGGTCACAGGCCAATTTTGTCAAGCCCGGCCTACAGCCTTGTAGGCTGGCCTATTTAATTTATTAAAATAAAATAATATATATTTTATGTGGCAAAGACACAAAGTACCAAATATCAATATCTCTTGCTTTTTGTGCTATTTTATTTTATGAAAGGAAAACTTGTCTAATGTCTCCAAATTTTACATGTTGTTGCAGTTTAATACCATGGAGCAATGGGTACCTTGCTGGATTATGATGTTACTGATGAAGATCTTTAAATAATACTCTTCTTTCCCTTGTCTTGATGGTGGTTTAAAGGTTTTTAGATGAATGACATTCTCTTGTAGACTTTATTTCAGCATCCAGTAATTGTATTTTTCTTATTTTTTCCATTTCTTTGACTCTATTCCTCTATGATCTACATTCTAGAGCTGAGGTATTATGTTGACTCTTTCTTGTTTGTCATTTTTTTCTTATGAGAAGTACTAGTGCATGCATGAATGAAACTTTCTTTACTCTATACAATTGTTTTTTTTGCTTAGTATATATAGTGGAGGCCTACAAGGCCTGTAGGCCATGTCAGGCTTTCTTATTTTTGAAAATGGGCCGGGCTTAGCCTACAAATAAAGCCTTTAATAGGCCAGTAGGCCAGATAGACTAAATTTTTTTTGACGTAGGCTTGGACCAGGATGGCCAAAGTCCAACCCAGCCCATTTACACCCCTAACAAGAACAATAATATTTAAACTGCTTGTTGGAGTGTCCATAGTTCCCTTATAACCAGAATAAAAAATAAAATTAAATGAAAAATACTTTTAAATTAAAGTTCCATCACGTATACAATTATACATATTTGACCTTTTAAAAATATATATATACTTAGGTAGATAAGATAAAAGGAATCTGACACCCATATATCAAACGCTAAAGAAGTACCGACGAAAATGACGATGTGGATGTTTACTGCCTCTTTAGGAGCCTTTGTTTTTAAGATATCTTTTTTAATAAGTAAAAATTTAGTCAAATATAATTTTACAAAAACTCTTATTATAAAAAGAGTCTTTTTTATATTGAAAAAAATAAAAATAAAAACTGTCAAAGGAAGCTTTTTGTCAGATGTATGTCAGTTTTTTGGGAATTCTCAAGTTAATTTTCTATTTATACACTTATTTTAAAATTTTATTTATAATTTATTATTTACCCTAATAATCATTCATTTCATCTCTCCCTTTCAAAATCTTAATCTTAAGAACAACTTTATATAATTATCAACCAGCTTATACTTTTTTTTTAAGTTTTTTTTAATTTTAACTTAAATGTATGTTTTAACTTTAAAAAAAGGGAAATATTACTCTTATGCTACATAAGAGTACATCATTTTCCTACACTAATTCGTTTTCCGTGCCAATTAATTTTTCTTTTCTTTTTTAATATAAAATATGGGACCCACATTTAACTTCTCTCTACTTTTTTTATCTCCTACAATCCTACAACGTAAGAAAACTTAAACCCTTAAAAAAATTATACCACCTTCGCCAAAGTATCATTCCACCCTCTCTAATGAAGTTCAATTATTTATTACTGTTGATTCCGATAAGAACAACTACATTTCTCGATTTAGATTTCCGTACTCGAGATAACTGAATTGTTAAAGTTTGATTTGTTAAATATTGAATCAAATTTATTTATTTAATTTAACAAACAAGTTCAATTTTAATTTTAAATTCTATTGTATAAATAAAAGAAGTCAGTTGACATTTAAGTTTATAATTAACTCGTGTATGTATATATTTAAAAAAAACTACTGACTTTGTATATAATTTGAGATAAGAATATATATTATGATAATTTATACACTATTATTAAATACTTTATAATTCTATTTAGAAAATTGCAATATTACATTATTTTCTACCACTTATATAATTCCAATATATTAACTAACATATAACATAAGAATGAAAATGGCAAGATAATAGTTTAAAAAGAGAAGTAAAGAATACTAGTGTCACGCCTTGAAATAAATAGGTATTGTTTCATTCGGAATATGGTAGCTTGAATTTATATGTTTATTCTTATTAAATAATATCTTTTTGCAAGCCAGATGTGATATTTGTCGGTTTAATACTTATTCTAAACTTCTCTTTTATTTTAGGGTTTGTTTTTCTAAAATTACTTTAGATAACTTTATCTAATATTCATCGAAACAAAGTTATTTTGGGATGAAAATTATTATGTATTTGTAATTTTAATTTATTTCAGAGTTATAATAGTCTTTATAATTCTAATTTTTTATTTTTTCAACTCAAAATAACGTTGTTTTGGTGAATATTAAATAAAATTGTCTAAAGAAATATTTGATATTTTTTCCCTTTATTTTATTAGAAAATGGTAAATTACTTTTAAAATTTCTTGATTAATATATATTTACATTTGAAATATTAATAAATGTAGCACACCAAGTTACACTCTATCCAAATTTTATTCATTTACAAAAATCTTAGAAAAATTTGGGTTAGGTAAAAACTCTTCATCATGGCCTATTTTAAGCAAAAAAAAAAATTGTCAAGTACACGTCATTTTTAGTGTTGAATTTTTCGCACTTATTTATGTGCCAAAATTTGAAGTTTAAATATACACAAAATAAAATGAACTATTTTTAATTAAATGATAAAAAATCATATATAGAATAACGTGGTAAGTATAGTGGCGTTTCAAGCTCACTGCGAGCCACTATCACCTCTTAACTGTTTTATAATATTTCGCTGGTGATGGTTAAAAAATGCACATGCTGATAAGTTTTTCAAAACCAGTTGTCAGATTTTGATTAGCTAGATGTTACCCTTCCTTCCTAAGCATAAACTTTATCAATACTTTAACCACATTACCACCCCACCCACTGATATTCTTTCCTTTTTCTTGGGTTCGGAGAAAATTGAAGAGAGACTCTGCTTTCTATGACGTTTCAGATTAGTATGCTATGAATCTCCTTTCTAAATCATTAATTTAATTTATTTTTTAATTGCAGAATGATACAATCTGAAGGATCCTATGGAGTTAATCCTTGATACTTTTCATGTGTACCTGCGCCTTACTTGTTCAACGCTTTCTAATGTTTGGGTCATGGGATTTATATTTCTTATGCAATGTTAGAAGAGTGTTACACTCATATTATTTTAATTATTTTTTTTAGCTCACCTGAGAATATGTGTATTGCAAAATTCTCTTCTTATATTGCATAAAGGATTTATCTCACAATGTGACAATTTTGTCATCACGACTTTGTAAAATATTTTTATAAATTATCAAATAACATTTTCAATATTGTTTACCATATTTCTTAAAAATAGTAGAGTCAACGCTTAATTTCTCTTTGGTAAGTACTTATCTCAATTCTATCTGATGTGACCCCATTCGAATGTGAGCGTCAATTTATAACTTGCAAGCATTAATTTACTGGAAGCATTGAATGACATCCTTCTTCAAAATGATGGTTTCAAGAAAATGATTCCGTGATTATCGTATGATTATATAACAGAAACCACTGAACATTATCCGGAAAATAAAAATTCAATTATTACAGTGGAGAATTTTTTTTATGAATAATAGCTATAATAAGATATAAATATAAAAAATACAAATTTCTTTAATATAATAATAACACTTAACTAACTCATTTTAATGGTTTAATATGACTTTCTTTTTAAGATAATGTAAAGATACGACTTTATTATAACGCCGGGTTAAGATTATAAAAGAAAAATACTTGACTTTTTATTAAAATTCCATCACCTGAAATTTTACTAAAATTTTAGAACTGCACAGTTGTAAGCCGTTATTGACTTTTATTTTGAATCAAAATCAAATTATAGATAATATTACTTTCTTGAAAATAAATTTTAGGCGCATCTGTTATACTAAATTCAGTGCACTATATCAATGAGACCATTATATGTCAAAGGA